AAAATATTATACTGTTAAACATAGAGCTCTACAAACTTATTTCTAGTAGAAGCATATTCAAGTTTAGGTGCAGCTTAAGCATGAGTCCATGTTTTAACTTGTGAATCTATTTTAGTCATTATACGTTGTTTCAACTAACCATTGTATTGTATATAAATTGGACGTAAGCAGGTTTAATGTAGAATATCGTACAACAAAAATATGTAAGTAATTAGACCATTTCCAATGTATTTCATTATTTTCTCCCTTATTTTAGCGTTCCCTTGTAATAGTGTGACGTTTCTTTCCAATGTATTTCTTTATTTTTTACACTAAAAATGAATATTATATTATATATAAAAGCTTTTTATTTATAAGTTTCACAAATTAGCTCCACTTATTTTATTCCTTGAGAAAAAACCCATAAATTAATATATTATTTAAACTAAATGATTCTTATGTAAAGTAGTTAAGCTACATTGTTAATTAAAAATATAAAGTATGATAGATTTTATTTTATAAAACTTTAATAATTATGATATAATTGAAATAAGTATTTAAATATAATTTGTTTAGGTTCAAAATAAAAAAAAGTTAAATTTAAAGGATCATTATGCAAATAAAAAAATACAACATCAAAAATAAGGGAGAAATAAAATCACACTATATTTGAGAGAAAAAATAGTGTTTCCGTATTTTGATGAGAAATATAAGGGTGGATTGAAGAAGAGTTTTACACTAAAATAGTGTTTAAGGAGAAATATAAGGATGGGTTGGAGATGCTGTTAGCAAAGAGAGAGAGGGAGATACTTAACGTAAGAAGACAAAGGAGAAAGAAGTGTGAGGCACGTAAGGGTTAGGATGCACCGCCCATCTTTAGTTGTATAATTCACCAATTACATAACTCATTCCAACCATTATTCTAGAAAATTGGTAACCCCACAAATATATATTTCCTCTATTTATGTTACAAGGATAGTTATTTAGAGGTGAGTGATTTATATTCCATCCATTTTATTTTACTTTGTCATTTTAGATCTTTTCACGTATATTAATCAAACATATTAAAATTTCTCTTCAAAAGAAAATTAAAATTTCTCTTATAATAAAAATTACAATGAAAAATGAAACGACAGCTAAAAATGTAGTCTAAAAAACTAAAAGGAAATGGAGGAATTATGTTCTACATATTCGACTAATCGTTACAGAAATTTATAGCGCACAATTACAAAAAGTCCGTAGAGCTAACTATAGACTTGTTTTGGGTTCAATTAAACGATGTAGACAGCCAATTTTTCTCGTTTTAAATACTAACAAGTTACATCGGCTTACTTGAACATTGTTTCTAAATATTATCAATTGCTTGTGTATGTTACTTTAAAATTTATGTAATCAAATTTGCGTGAGTCTGGCAAAACATGTGACATAGCTTCCAACTTAGGATTAAGTGATTAACCGAAAATATCTTGTTTCTATATAACCGGATCCAACCCAGTCTTTCGCTTGCTTTACTTCACTTGCAGGTTGTTAATTATTTTCCTCTCAAGTCCCATTTACAAATAGCTTCTTTTCTTCAAAAAGGTGATTTAAGTTCTCTCTATTAGTTCTCTATGATTTCTCTTTTGGTTAGTGTATTTTATTTTTTACTTAGAATTAGCAACCTAAAGTTCAAACATTAGTATTAACTTGAACTTTTAAAAATGTAACTTTTGACCCCCAAAAAAAATTGTAACTAAACATATTTACATACAAACAAACAAACATATACATACATGCATGTCTCATGGGAGAAATGCTTTAAATATTTACATATATTGATAATAGAAGGTGAGAAAATGGGTGGCATACCAAATAGTAGAGAAGAGAAGTGGAGAGAGTGGTGGTGGGGCTTTAAGACATTATTTATATATAAAAAGAAGTTCTTGTCCAAAAGGAGTGGATAGACACTACACAACACAACACCGCTCTCACCACACTTCAACACTTCAACACTACAACTCCAACTACACCTCACTCTTACTTCTTACTCACTCCACTTCACCACACTTCCTTTCTATTCCTAAGTTGCTGTTTTTCTTTATAGGAAAAGTTCTTCTTATATAGCTATTTCATTTATGTATTTCAACTTTATGTATGCCATCCATTAATAATTTTTAAATATTATTTGTTCTTCCAACTATTATTTTATATTGTGTAAGACAAACTCAGTTATTATAAAAGTCATGTGACTCATGTCATAGTAGAATATATGGTTCCAGTTATAAATTATACTTATTAAATTCAAAATAAAACGAAAGTTCTTGTAAAGGTGAGGCCAGTTTGTTATATTTTATGTAGAGTAAGAATATTGTTCATACCAGTTTTTTTTTTTTTTTTTTGACGTATCGTTCATACCAGTCGAAGAAGATATTAAACGAATTTAAATATTTTTCTCTGTGACTAGTTCATTATCGACTACTAACCGGAAGATAAGCATCTAGATCATATCATCTTAGTCTTTTCCAAAACTTTTAAAGTTATTCTTTTGAATAATATAATTGAAATAGTAAGATAGTTACTTTGCCATCAATCAATTTGTATACTCCTTGAAAGATAAGAAAGACATCATTATCAGAACCTAATATATATGTATTTATATACTTGATACCTAATATAAATAAATAACAGAAAGAGATATATAACTTAAAAGATATTAAAAAAAAAGTTAGATAAAGAGGATAATGTAATGCAACTAAAATCCAAGCAAAAAAATTAGACTCTATGTCTACTTGTTGAGTCTTGAGTGTTAGTATAATATACATAGATGAGTGTGTATGCGTGCATAGTATACATTTGCAGAGTCCAATGTGCGCTATATGTATATTTGCATTTGATAGTATCATGTGCTTGTCAAAATTAGCTAAAAATATATCTAACCTACTAAAGTTTTTATTGGTTGTCAGTAAACTAACCATTTTGTTACTACTTGTATTAAGGGTTGTGAGGTTTGGTTCTGATACTGTGATCAACAGTTTAGTGACAAATTTGGAGATTGCCAGCTAAACCAAGACTAAAAGAATCTGCTTGAATAATGCTAATCACTTATCAGCCAAATTGTTTTGTTGCACTTTATTTTACTTTATATAATATGATTCATTAGAAACGAAAAATAAAAATATAAATTAAGATAGCTTCTACCGTGATTGTTTTATGAAGATCTAGTGAACCCAGTTCTGTTTCTGATTTGTGAGAAAAGTGCGTGTGGTTTTTACTTTTTAAGTGCTCAATTTGGAAAATTTCGGACACATAAATGAATAGATCTGAAACTCTTTAAAAACCCATAATAGAAGTCACATCCTTTGTGTCAGAAATATCAACTTCTCTTTATCCTATCATTCTTTATATAGACAAACATAGGATGATAGCTATATTGTCTGGCACTTGGCTAAGCATATTATCAACTTAAAAGTTAAATTTGCATATTCCAATAATTGTCATTGTTATTACTTATTAGTAAGTCGAACACTCGAACTAAGTCAGATTTTTTTTGTATAGATGACTTTATTGATGGCATTGTCTTACAAAACTGTGTCAAAATAATTAAATGTATTATATATTCACAAGTTGAGAGAGGGAAAATTTTGAGAAATCAAAGTTATTAATTTAATAGCTAACATACTTATATAATTTATTAATAAGATAGTTGAAGTAACAGACAGACGGTTCGGAAGACGCAAACAACAAACTGGACCAACCAAGTGGGTAAGCTGATCCTCCTCCTTTTACTACATCTATAATTATTTATCAATTTTAACTATGATTATTTTCATGTGTTCGTATATTAAAAACTTTAAAATGATACTAAAAGTCGGAGCAATTGAAAGCTTAACAAAGAGTCGAAATCGCATGGTAACAACTTCTCTCAGTTTTCTTTCATCTTATGCCATGGGAAAGCTTTATGAGAATATATTTTGGATTTTGGGACGGGAATTGACGGGTACGGGACGGGAAATCACGGAAATGGGAAGGGAATGAGAAATTTGGGAATCAAAAATAATATTCGAAGTCTTAATAAATCCGGAAAATTGAAGATAATATAGGAAGTTACGGGAAAAATACGGGAAATTATAGAAAAATACAGGAAATTATGGGAAAATTAGGGAAAATATGGGAAAAATTGGGATATTTAAGAAAAAAAATATAATTTCAATTTTTTTTATTTTTTAAACGGGAAAATTGAGAAATCCCTTACCCTTCCCGAACCCTTCCCTTAACTGTTTGAATAAAATAAATGTTCCCAAATGGGAAATTGCAAATTCTCATTTCCAAAAAGTTCGAAAAATTTTAAACAGATAAGGATAAGAACGGGATTTCGTCCGGAAATGCCCAGGGCTATTTTGTGCTTCTCTTTCCCTCTTTCGCGCCATTATGAGTTTATGACAATGACGAGAAAAGCCAAGCTCGTTTATGTTGTAAAATCTGAATCTTATAGGTTAAAGTTTTAAACCAAGCTCGTTTAGTCGTTTTAGTTCTAGAATCTGAATCTTATAAGTTAAACTAAGCTCATTTATGTTTTGAATTGTTACGTTTATATGTGATTCACGACAATGATGAAATTGTGAGTCATCGGTTTTGTTTAGGACATTTATATTTTGAGTGCGTGCGTGTTACTTATAGTTTCTTTGAATATTTTATGGTATTATTTTGCTAGTTTCTTTAAATATATCTTGGTATAACTATGCTCAACATCAATTTCTTTAAAATTCTCTTAAAAGTCACACTAATACTAAAATTAAACGCATGAATCATTTCCCAATTTTAAACTGAATAAAAAATAAAGTACCCAAAACAAGATATTCTAAAACACAATCAAATGCAAATTTGAATAAAAAAGTAAGACGCCTGATTGTCACAAAATACAAGAGAGTTTGATGCTATAAACATAAACATCAAAAGTTTATTCAGCAACAACAGTACTTACTAAGATTCTCTCATCTGATTAAACAAACAAGAGCAATACAGTAGACAGAAGTGTACTTGACTTAGACCGGCGTCAAGCCAACCACACCTGCGTTATAAACCAACATAAACATATAATCCAAATCTTTCTCAAGGCAAAAAGTTATGTATGGATCACAAGTTTAAACCATACCGCAAGCCAATCTCCCGCCTGCGTTTCCTGTGGTCAGGCTAAGCTCATGCCCACCTATATTTGTCAAATCACCAAAGAGAAGTAATCAAATCATAACCAGAGGCTTAGAGAGACTTGTAAAATCTTGAAAAAGAGCCATCCTTTTCAACTAAGAAGGCAATGCAATCATAATACAAGAACAAGAATCGAAAGAGCAAGAAACATAGCGCAAGAATCGGAATTGTTTTACCTTTACCGAGATCATCCTTAAGCTCGTGAACCACAAAGGCTCTTCCAACAACAGAATTAGGACCAGTCAGAGGAATCTACACAATTTGAAAAAAAAAGGAAAAGCTTCTTATAAGAGAACACATGAGAAACAAAACAATTTAAAAAGATAAAAACACCAACCTGATTGTCCACTATTGTTGTTTCTGCCACGCCTGTTGATACCAAAAAAGAAACAGTTTTTGATTATCAAAGAACAAAGAATGGAAGTCAAAATATACAGAGAGCTCTCTAAAAAATACCATCAGCATTGGCAATTATGTTTCCCAGGTCACCCGCATGACGGATCTCGTCTCCAGGAGCTCCGTGTGTCATCTTGTTAGGGTTGAAATGTGGTCCAGTTGAGATACATCCATTTGTTGTATCACCAAACTCATGCTGGCAAAAAGCAAAACAGAAGACACAATATATAACCCAATAAGAAGAAGAAGAAGAAGAACAAGATTTCATCCGAATGAACAAGACTTACGAGGTGAAATCCATGTGGCCCTGGAGCTAGCCCTTTGATACAAACATTCACAGTTGTTGGACCTGCTTGCCAATTATTAAACAAACCATTCTTCAAGTTAGTAGCTACTGAATCAGGTATCAACAGAGTTTCACAGAGGAAATGCCCCAAGAATATATACATAAGCAATTCTAAAGGACTTAGCTTTATATAAACATCCAAAGGTTAATCCTTTTTTACATCTCTAAGGATAATCATATGCCAAAAAGTATGAAACTTTCTTCAATTTAGTAGCTATTGAATCAGGTATCAACAGAGTTTCACAGTAGAAATGCCCCAGGAATATACATAAGTAATTCAAAAGGACTTAGCTTTATACAAAAATTGAAAGGCTAATCCTTTTTTTTGTTTTCTATTAATCTGCACATCTCTAAGGAGAATCAAATGCCTAAAAGTATGAAACTTTGAAGAAACACTATGAGTGACCTAATAAACCATTGAATTTAACTAGCAAGAAACCGAAACGAAATAGATTTATGAATATAATACACAGAAGTATACATTCTTCAATTAGTAGCTATTGAATCAGGTATCAACAGAGTTTCACAGTTGAAATGGCCTAGGAAAATTCACAAGCAACTCTAAAGGACTTAGCTTTATATAAACATTCTAAGGCTAATCCTTTTTTACATTTCCGAGGAAAGTCAGATGCCAAAAAAGTATGAAACTTTGAAGAAATTGGGAAGAAAAAAGGAAACTTTATGAGTGACCTAATTGTAAGATGGGCTTCTGGAAATGAATATCGAATCAACGAAAAAAAGGAATCGAAAATGAGGAATTTTGAGTCAATGGGGGAGGGAAGGAGGAAAACCTGAGTCTTCTTGGATCAAAGTAACGACTCCTTCGACATTGGAGGTACCTTTGAGCACAGCAACAGCCTTCTTCGCGGCGGAAACAACTGTCAAGGCTTTCTTTGACGACGGAGCTCTAGCGGAGAAGGAAACGGATTTGGGACGGTGGAGACTGAGAGAGACGCCGCGGAAAGAAGAAGAAGAGATTGGTGAAATTGGATTGGCGTGTGAGAATGAGAGGATGGTGTGTGCTGCAGCCATGGCTGCTGTGTAAATTTCTGCTTTTTTGGCGTTTGGAGGAAGCGAGTAGGCAATTTTGTGGTGACTGATCAGATTTTTATTTCGGCCCACACAAGATTTTGGGTGCATCTTACCAATTTGTTTTTTGTTTTTTAACTTATTTTATTCTATGTATTTATATCATTTAAATACCAATTTTCCAGTTACACTAATCAATCTATGAAATCTTCTTTGGAAATTATTATTACTTGGAGTTTTGTTTTGTAACATCTGATATTTTATTAATTAGGGAATAAAGCCCCGCGCAAGCACGGGGTTATTACAATAACAATTGTGTTTGTGCGTACTCATTGATTTAAATTGTGATAGTTTAATATTTAATTTAATGGTTACATTTTGAGTTAAACTAATTATTCACATTAAGGATGTTCAATATGACTTTTAAAAAATGTTAACTGTATATTTCATCTCTAGTTCTTTTTTTCCAAAATTTAACATTTTAAATATTTCCCTTATTCAGTTTCATTGGATTATAATTTAACATTGAAATTGAATTACATTTTGACTCGAAATATGATAAAATATATATATATATATTTTGTAGATTAGCATTTGATCACTGATAATTGATTCTTATATTACAATTTTATGTTGTTCAAAAAAAATATATATATACAATTTTATATTTGTAAATTTCAATTATATTTTTAAACAAACATGTCATAATCCTTAAAATTTACATATGGTGCTTTTAACTTCTTATTATCTTTCTACTGTATTATCAAAATGATATTCTATATTTTATAACTCTTAAACACATTATAATGTTTTACAAAAGATAAATCCTCTATATAAATTTTGATCAATAAGGTAAATATATACTATTTAGAGTAAAAAATATCATTTTTCTTTCTCTAATTTGTACTACAATTTCTATTAAAATTTTATTACATACTTTATATTTCTTAATTAGTATTTTTTTTTTAAATTTATTTTATGTATTTCTTTGGATTATATGTAAAGAAATATGAATAGTCATGTATTAAATATCTTAAATACAATTTATTGAATTTTTTTGCTGATGTGGATAGGCTAGATGGAGAGAGCACTCTCCTATTATATATAAGATTTATTTGATGTATTTTCTTTGGATTATATGTAAAGAAATATGAATAGTCATGTATTAAATATCTTAAATACAATTTATTGAATTTTTTTGCTGATGTGGGTATGCTAGATGGAGAGAGCACTCTCCTACTATTATATATAAGATAATTATAAAGAGTTATACACATTTTGCTAATTTGTCGGCCACCATATTCTTCTCTCACCAACATGATCCAATGAACAAAGTGGTAGCTTGCTGATCCAATGATAAATGTCCACTAACAGGTTTACCAACACCAAGCTATCTTTCTGCTTGTTAATGATGTTTACCAATTGTAGATTATCTCCCTCAAACCAAACTTGTCTGAATCCCTTCTGCCATACTCTCTGAACCACATACAGAAATCCATTTCCTTCAGCTTCTAATATGGATCCCACGTTCTCTAATCTAGCCCATCCTGATTCAATATAATGACCATACTCATCTCTGATAATCCATCCTACTCCCATATAGTCATTATCTATCGAGCTATCAAAATTGCATTTTAGCCAGCCCAAAGGTGGTGGTTCCCAAGTTGCAGAGATACCTTGCGTTTGAATATTGTGTTGAATTGGAGAGATTGGTTTTGCTAATATCCACCCCGCCACTGCTTCCATACTTTTCAAAACATCCTCCGCAGCTTGAGTACTTTTCTGAGTAAAGATAAATTCATTTCGTGATTTCCATATCTTCCACACAATCCAAAACGGTAAAAACCGATCTTCTACTCTCAATGTAGATCTTTCGTTTATCTGTAGCATCATCCTTATATTATCTTCAAGGGTAGAATTAGGATTGTCAAACTCTGCAAACCTTGCACCTCTCCAAATAGCTTTCACATGATGACAATGAAACAATAGGTGATTTATTGTTTCATGCTCTTTACTGCAACGTTGGCATACGGGATCAATATCAAGTGTTTTGGAACATAACCTTTCTGATGATGGAATAGCCCCTGCAACCGCTTTCCAGATGAAATGCTGAATTTTTGGCTCCATCTTAACCCTCCATATCTTCTTTTTAACCTCTAACGACCCCGCTGGTGGTTCAATCTTCTCATTATCTGGAACCAGATGAGTTGCCACCCAATACCCTGACTTCACAGTATATTCAGCCGTTGAAGTATATGACCAAATGCGTTTATCGTGGATGGCAAATCTTGACAATCTGATATTTTTTGCCAACTCTGCATCTTCATGGGTGAGAACAGACCTGAGTAGATTCTCATCCCACGACTTCTCCCCCTGTTTCCATAACTCCTCGACCTTCATATTCAAATGTTGAACATTTCCTTGTGCTAAACGTGGAGGCAAGACTGGTAGCCAATGGTCTAACCAAACATTCGTTTCCTTTCCATTTCCCAATCTACTTTGCAAACCTTGTTTTAGCAAGTCTTTACCAGCTTGTAATGATGTCCATCCGTAAGATGGATTCCTACCACACATCGACTCTAAGAATGCCGTTGTTTTGTGATATCTTCCTTTATATATCCTTGATAACAGTGAATTTGGGTTCTGCAAAACCCGCTGATATACACATATATTAACATATTTTAGCATACTTTTACAAGTATATTTCCACCTTCTACATACATTTATGTCTCTTTATCTCTATCTATACACTTGCATCTTCCTTAAGACTTGCATTGCATATACATTGCATTTTGAGTCTGAATCAGGTACTTTTGGGAGCTTTGGAGCCATTTGGGAACATGGGGTGTTGGAGACGTCAAGACGAAGAGCAATCAAGATGTGAACCAGGATCAGGATTGTCGCCTTACAAGCTTTCCTTGACCAAGAGGAGGGTTGACTGAAGTCAGAGTTGACCATGCCAAAGTGAAACGCGGAGTTTTGGAGCTTAAATCTTGGGAAAGGAAAGAAGAAGGGTTTTAGAAGTCTCCACTATATAAACTTAAAAGTCCTAAGATTTTAGGCATCTTGTAATTTGTCCTTCATTTTTCCAACAAGAAATACTCTCGTTTGAGATCTTAGACTTTGTAAGCTTTGATATTTTCCCTTTTAATCTAAATCACGTACTTGTTCTTTCGTTCGTTCATTGCATCTTACTGACTTGTTTAACAACCTTTCCTCTATGGGAATCGGTTTGTTAAACAGGATGAGTGAGTAGTCATATGACTATGCCTAGCACTAGAGCCATGGAACTTGAACCTGAGCTTGAACCTGATGGAGCTAAACATGTGGAGCTGGAACCTGATGGAATTAAAGACATAAAGCTTGAGGTTGAGGAGAAACTTTATGTCATGGACAAACTTGTTGCCAACCAGGAGCTTGCAGCCGAGAAGAAGCCTTTAGCTGCACCAATGCAACTGGAGTTAATCTTGAGCCAAGATGGAGAAGACATGATCCTAAACCTCCCTGGTTTTTGATCCAAGCTCAAGAGATCAACAAATGGGCATGTGTCTCATTTGTACTCTTTTTCCCTTGTCAAGTTTTGTCCCAATGGGTTTTCTTGACAAGATTTTTAATAAGGCAAATGGGTCACATTCAAATCACCCATTTAGCTGATCAAGACCAAGGCCCATCAATAAAGAAGGATAAAAACGTGGCCATGAAGTTCAAGGGTCTATTTTAGTGTTCAAACTTTCATTAAATGTTGTGTGTGTTTCCCAGATGGTCTTGGAGCTTGTTCCTTGACTCATCTCTTCTTCTCCCCTTCTTCTTTTCCTTTATATTCTGCTGGACGAAACCCTTTTGAGTTTAACATACTTCTGAACGAAAACCTTTTCTCTTTGTTAATCAAAGTCTCTCCTAGTGAGTTATATCTAAGAAAACCTCTTTTAGTGTGTTACATCTAAGAAATCTTTTTTCTTTTGTTGTGTGTTATATCAACACGATAGAAGGTGGCGTTGGAGATCTTTATCCATCAGATCTCTGGTATAAGCCATTCACTTCCATCCAATCCATTCAATCCATCGATTCCATTCAAGTCCAACCATTTTATCACTCCATCTCTATCACTACTTGCTTCAAAGTGCCAATCTCAATCAGGGTTCTATCAAGTGGTATCAGAGCCACTTTGAAGCTAAGTGATTCCATCCCTAGTTGTTTAATTTTCGTTTATGCATCTTGTTAAGAGTGACTGTTCATCTTCTAGATCTGACGAGTTTTGTTAGTGGGCATCAATTTAATTGTTTGCACAATTTTAAAATTATTGTCATAATTAATCCTGATCATTCTCTCATAGATCCATCCATCCACAAGTGTTTCCATATTTTTAGAAATTGTTTGCATAATTTCTAGAATTTTTCTTGAGCTTTTTCCCTTGAACTTCTAACTGCCAAGTGCTTCTCTTGTTTCAGGTACTATGGTGTCTGAGAAGGAAGATGAAGAAGAATCAAGAAAAAGCCTCAGCGAAACCCTGTTGGAACAACTCAAAAAGATGATGATTGAGGAGTTTGATCGGAGAGAGCAGAATAAAGAAGGAAAGTGGAAGCAACCTAAGGATCCGGTCACATCTATGAAGAAAGAGACAGCCGAACAAGGCAGCCAATGCCAATCCAGAAGATCAAGATACGAACTGGACAGAAAGTTTGAGGATCTTAGTGGTTACATGATGATGATTCCGCCATTCAATGGGAACAATGATCCGGATGTATATCTGGATTGGGAGAAAAAGTGCGAGATTACCTTCAACCGACATAACATAGCTGACATCAACCGAGTGAAATTAGCAGCTATGGAGTTCAAGTATTATGCTCTAAGTTGGTGGAAACAGGTTGAGACGGCACGAGCTTATAGTGGAGCTTATGAGATCTCTACTTGAGAAGAAATGAAAAGGGTTATGAGGCAGCGGTTCATTCCCATTCATTATCAATGTGAACTTCATTCCAAGCTAAGGAAGCACAGTCAGGGAACTCATTCACTTGAGGAGTACTATAGTAGCCATGGGAAAACGAAGCCCAAGCTGACAAGACCACAAAGCCTTATCCAAGACATTTCTCTAAGGAAACCAGTCCTGAACCACAAGAAAGCATTAAAAGCAAACGTAAGCATCCTGTTTCTCAACAAGTACAAGAATTAACTTTTTGCAGGTCCAAGAACAGAGACCACGTTGCTAAGGAGCTCCCAACCAAGGTGATCCCTTCCTCTATTAATCCAAAGCCTCTGGCAGCAGAATGTGTCAAAGAAGTGCCAAAGGATCACACAAAGAAAAGTTTAGGTGCCTGATGATAGGATTTGTGTGTGGATGTGAAAAGATATGAAATGAGATGAGTGGAATGCAATCAGTGGTATATGATGAGGTGGTAAGATGCAAACACAAACACAGTCAACAATTCCCTTTAACCATGATAGTTGATGTAGTACAAAGGGTTATCAATCCAAAATGGGAAACTTGTCACTCTATGAGAATATGAAACAACCAGGAAGTCAAGCAAGCAGTATAGATTTGAAGTAACACTAACAACCTAAAAAAATGAAAAGCAGTGCAATAAAAGTAAACAAAGCAGTGAAGTGTCAGCTCGACCAAGACTCGAGTCGAGTCAGAGCAAAGTACCAGCTCGATCGAGTTTAGGGACGAGTTGAGACAAACAAAGCTAAAGGTGACGACTTTAACAAGATAAGAGAGAATTAGGGTTCAAGACAGGGTTTTGCAATCAAAGGAATCTACACTTAATCAATCTAGCTCTTAAAACTCCTTGTATCAAGGCTTCTCTTGATATTGGGCTTCTCAATGCCTAGCCAACCCTTTCCCAAGGTGAGGCTATCAACCAAGGAATGATCTCAGAAACAGGGGGTTAGCCAGTGAGAATCAAACCTTGGAGGCTATAGGATCATTGCCCAAACTAATCCATCCAACCCCTTAGACCTCTATTTCTAGAGCAAGAGATATTGGAGCTCTTAGTGGATCTTTTCCAGCGAATGCCATCACTTTCGTGTGGGGAGTCGCCTAAGGACTTACAAGCCAGGGGTAGTGGTCATGTAGCCTTAAGATCTATCCAAAAGAGAGAGAATCTAGATTAAGACCATAAGCTAGAAGGATTAAGCATATGAAACCTCTAATCTATCCCATCTCAAACCCTAATGGGTAACTACTCACTACACATGAATGTAAACACAAGCAAATGCAATAAAAGAGACATCATAAGAAAGAGGAGATGAAATTAAACAACTTTTATTGAAATAAGCAAGTGCAAATACAAAGAGATTATCCAGGATCTAGGATTCAAGAAGCAAGAGCTTCAAGAACACAAAGATGGGATTAGATCTCTAAAAAGTAAAAGACAATAAATTAAAAGAAACTAAAACAAAATAATCTAAAGCTTGGTGGTTTTTTCGTGGCTTAGAGCCTTTAAATACAAGAGGATTAGGTTTAGGGTCAAAGGAAAGTCAAGGGGGAAGCAACATTTTTCGGGTTTGACTTTGACTTCTCAGCTCGATCGAGTTGAAGCTTGGCCGGTCGAGTTGAGGAACTCGACCGGTTGGTCGAGTAGACGGTCGAGCTGGTCTTCAAGATGGCTTCTCCCTTCTTCCTTTGCGTATCCAGTTGAGCTGCTTCCATGTGCCAAGTCCCTCCATGCTCCTTGTCCCATATGCTCCAGAATGCTCCAAAAGACCTATTTCAAAGGACCAAACATGCATATGTATGCAAATGCAACCTAAAACTAACATGAATGCATAAGAAGAGAAAAGGAACAAGATATGATGCAAATGGAAGCTAAAACTATGCAAAAGATGCATAAAAGATGTGCTAAAACTATGTAAAATGCAAGTACATCAACACCCCCAAACTTGAACTTTGCTTGCCCTCAAGCAAACAAATAGAACAAGAAAGAGATGAGGTTTGAAAACAGCTGATTCAACACTTAAAAACATGTCCTCAAAAGCGATTTGCTAAATGTCCAACTTAGAGATTCTAGAATGCAACAAGGTGAGAGATATTCATTAAGATTTAACCATGCTTATCAACATCAATCCCACTTCACAGTCACTCAAACAATGCATTCAAATCAGCAAATCCCTTTAACATTCATTAAGCAAAAACAGTGAACCAAAAACATGCAAGATCAATCAACTCATTTGGTTTCAAGGGTTTATGGGTTAAGAGACAAAGAGGGTCTCTTTTGTATGGTGGTTTAGTAACAGGGATCTCTCAAGAAAGTGGCTTTGCTTTGGCAGAAGGCTAAGTGTTAGAACCAAAGATGATGCAAGAACAGCAGCTCGAGCCGTCTAATCCTAACTCGATCGAGTTCAACACTTAGAGCTTTTTAGAACAAAATCCTAACTACCCTTTTTGGCATTTCGCCTTTGAAACTGAGGAGCTTTGCTCACTTTTCTTTTAAGAACTTCCTAGGGAGAGGCTTCTTGAGGTAACAAGCTTTTCTTTCCTTTTTGACACTTGAGGCTTTGCCTTCTTTTCATTCTACTTAGAACCCTTTTTACTTCCTTTTTTAACTTCCCAAACCTTTACTAGACCCTTTTTAACACTGCCAACTCCCTGGACTAAACTCTTTTTCCTTTGGGTTTTTCCCAACTTTTACCACTTTTCTGGTTTTTACACCCAACTCGATCGAGCTCGAGTTGGCACCCCCAAACTTAGCCTGAAAACAATCCCAAGAGAACTAGACAACTAGAACTACTGCCCCTGCCGGTTTAAACACAACACCTTATGCTAAGCAAAGCCAAGAAAGGTTCTCACATTCGCACAAGAGATAATATGGGGTTTGAAATGAAAAGGCTTAGGTTTAAGGTGTGGTAACTGTCTCAAAGATAGAGATCAGCTATCTGGAGATTAGGTCTGGGAGACTAGGTCGTGGTCTGGAGATGGGAGACGGCCATCAGGACGCTCCACTCAACTGGGTTCGGCTCACTCGATCGAGCTTGTGGCTCCTCTTCCTCCTCTTCTTCATCGTTGAAATGTGTGTGGCTTCCTTGGCCTTGGTGGAGTGGAGCTCGCTCGAAGCGGTTGTAGGGAGTCCAGAGAGTCTGAGAGAAGTCCTGGTACTGGTTGAATCGTACTCGAACCCAGGTTCTCAAACAGGGGCTCCTCCAGGTCAACTCGACCCTCAGCTCGATCGAGCCTCTGCTCGATCGAGTTGGAGCGTCGAGTCTTGGAACTCTTCCTCCTTCTCTGCGAGTTGTCTTCTCCTTCCCTTGGCTCGAAAGAAGAGGCTCTGTGAGGCTCTTGGGCAGGGAGCCTTCTTGGAGTGGTGAGGAGAGATACTCCTAGGGAAAGTGTGGAGCCTTGGACTTCTTCTTCTTGCTTGAAGAACCAGAAACTTTCTTCTCCAAGCTCTTGATCTTGCTCACCATCTTGTCCATGGACTTTTGCATCTTTCCATGGCTTTCCCTTGCCACTTGTTGAACCTTTGGAGAAGTCCAATCCTCTTGTGGGCAGCCACAACAGAGGGGTTCATCCTTGGAGCCTCATACTCCTCAAAGTAATAGCACTCAGGCTCACCCAAATCCTCATTCACTCGAGCGTTGTCCTCAACTCGATCCTCAGCTCGATCGAGCTCAGGCTCCTCTTCTCGCAAATCCTCTTCATGCCCAACTAATGTGTACACAGGGGGTCTGAAGTCAATGTTTGTACCTCCTAGGACCGTGGTGAGCTCAGGGTTGGGCAGGAGAAGCTTGGAGGGCCAGCCAATGGATGGTGAATTTGAATTGGAACCTCCCATCCAACTCCTTGTGCTCAATGAAGAGGTTGGTCTTGCAAAACTTATGTCCATCCATCCTGCTGGAGTAGACCTTCTCTTGTCCAAATGGACTCCAGCTGCACAGAGGATAGGTGTGATGACTCCTCCAACACTAAGCTTCCTTCCCTTTGCCTAGTGTTAGGCGGTTGTCTTGTAGGAGAGAGCTGGTCAAGAGAGGCATGAGATTCCCTGCATGGATCTATCTCCCCTGATTTCTTCCCATCCTTGTGCGTGAGATGATGGGCTTGATTCCCATGTCAAGGAGCTTCACTTCTCCTCATTGATTGTCCCAGTCGCCTTTCCTTGCAAAGAAGGTGTTGGCAAGAGCCTTGTGCACATATCTCAACACTGGGCTCCTGATCTGAGCTGCCTTAGACCTTGAGGAAGAGTATACTCCATCAGCGATTGTAGCCCAAACCCTTTGGAGCTCTCTTCCTTGATATCCCAATGGGTTCCCTCTCCATAGTGAAACCCAAAAAGATCTCCAACTGCCTAAGGTCACCTTCTTTCTCCCCTTGCCAAGAACGTGATCCATCCCCAACCTTGGTCCAACTCAGCTCGATCGAGCTCCTGTACTTGTGGAACCTCATTGAGCCAAGAACTCACAAGTGAGCTCCTTGTATGACTCCATGCGGTAAGAGAAGAACTTGGCCAAGCGCATGTTCTTGAGGACCAACTCCACATCTCAAAGATCCCAAGAGCCTTCATTGTGTCATCATGTGGGTACTTGGTCTCCACAAAGTCCATGGAGAAGAGAGCATCATAGTGCTCTTGGTACATGGGGAGCTCATCCTCTTCTTCCTCTGACTCCTCCTCTTCCATGGGCACATTCTCATTGCTCTCATGCTCACTCTCCTCAATCTCTTGATTCACCTCTTCTCCTTCCTCTTGGGAGTCATCACCCTCTCTTGTGGATGTTCACCCAATTTCAAACTCTCCCTTCGCTCTCACTGCTGATAGGATCATTCCTTCTCTTGGTTCTCTCTCTTCCCTCACCTCTCAATCTCTTCCTCATCCTCCTTGGTTAGTGTCTTGAGTATCCTCCTTGCTCCTCTTGTTATCTCCTTCTTTGTGAATGCTGCTTGCTTCCTTCACCTCTCAACATCTTAAACGGTTGCTTCTTGAAGTTGGGTTCCTGAAATGCATCAAAAACTCAAAGAATTAGAGTTGTAATGTTGGTTCGGTCAACTCGACACTCAGCTCGATCGAGTCAAAAAACTCGAGTGACAAACTCGATCGAGTTAAGTGAAAACAGAGTATAACCGAACCTAATTCAATAAGAGCTGGAAAGGATGCTAATCAATCAAATTGAACCAAGAACATAAATGGAACAATAAGCAATTCTAGTTAAAACCATCAAATTCAATTTCAAGCACATGCAACAAGTTTAATGGCAAAACAGAGGTGAGGTGAGGCAAATTCACAAGATTATACAAATATGAAGCATAAAGAAAGCAATTACTCAAGAACAAGTCCACAAGGGACACATGCAATCAAAAATCAAAGAGGAAACAAGCAATGGAGAATCGAGATGAAGGATCAAGGGTTTTAGGGTTCATACCTTGCTTGAATGATGATTGAAGAATACAGTACTAGAACTAAGCAAAACAAGAGAGAACAATGAAATCGCAAAAACTTAAGAGAGAAAGAGGAAATCGATTTTTCTTGTGGTGAAGAGAGAGAGATGGTTTCAGAAATTTAGTGTGGGAGAGTGGGATTCGATCGAGTTATGGGGAAGAGAGTGTTTGAGATGTGTGGTTGAGATTAAAAGATGAAATAAAGAGGGACAAAAGCTAGGGATTTCTGATCAATTAGGGTAGTGGGGGACCAAAATCAGCTTGTGGGACCCACTCCCTTGACCAAGAAAACGGTTATGAATTTGAAATTCAAAAACTTACCTCGGTCGAGTTGAGGAACTCGATCGAGTTGCCCTGGTTTCTAGCTCGATCGAGCTGTCGGTCGAGCTGGCTCCTTGACACCTAAACTTAACTTATTCAAAGGTTAAAACATAAAGATAGATAGAAATTGCATAAATAGAATATGTACAAGGATAAACATGGGACTTCCTCCCAAGTGAGCTTGTTTAAGGTCCCATAGCTTGACCTTTACCTTCTTAGGCATTGGTTGAGCTAGTCCCACCATCAAGGGTGATAGTGAGGACTTGAGACAGAAGCTCCTTTAGCTTGGTTGGGTCCCTGGACTGTTCTGAAGTCACCAAGGCCTTGGCTCTAGAGAATGGCCTTGATCTCCCCTTGTACCTTATCTTGTACTCAATCTTCCCATTTTCAAACTTGGTGGGGAACAAAGTCATTGTGAGCTGAGATGGCTTGACTGAAGGGGCCTGAGCTGGTGGATCCTTTCTTTTATCCCTGGTCTTGCCTTAGAGGCTGCATCCTCCCCTTCTTTTAGAGCCCTTCCTAGTGGCTCATCAAACAAAGCTTGAAGGCTCTCTTCATCAAGCACACAAGGGGCTTGAACAAGTCTCTCAGCTCTTGGCCTATCAGATCGTGGTTTCTCAACTCTAGCCCTCTCAAGACGTGGCTTCTCAATCCTTGGTCCTCTCTCATCCTTATCCTTCCCAACTCTTGGTTCCTTTGTCAACCCTTTCCTTCACAACCTTTGTAGCTCCATGACTCTTAGAACTGATTGGTACTGTCAATTGTGGCACAAAAGTCTGAACCTCTAGGCTGCAAGCGATATGACACCAAACTATTCACCTTGTGAAGGATCACTTCTTGCTTGTGAAAGTCTATTGAAGCGCCAACTGTACTAAGGAAAGGGGTTCCCAATAACAAGGCAAATCCTTCTCTTCTTCCATTTCCATCACAGTGAGATCAGTTTGGATGATGCATTCTCCAATTTTCAAGTGATAGTTCTTGAACACTCCAAGAGGAGACTTAGAAGTTGCATCTCCAAACATGATTGAAGTAGTAGGGCGCTGCAAGGCTCCAGCAATGCCTAGCTTCTCTGCCATGGAGAGAGAGATCAGATTGATGCTTGCTCCAGAATCCACTAAGGCATTGTCAATCTCAAGATGCCCAAGTGTGCAAGGGAGAGTGAATTTCCCTTGATCCTTGACCTTTGGTAGGAAGGTGGGTGAAGTAAGCAGGTTGAACTGATGAGTAGACTCTTGTAGGACCTCTGAAACTTTATCACTGTTGGCTAGAACATCCTTGACCATTTGCATTTGATCAAATGCCTCACTCATGCTATCCATAGAGGCAACTCAATTCCAATCCCACTGAGATCTCTTCTGAACTTGTGAATCACTTCCTTGTGACCTTGACTAAGTAGGCGAGACGAGGAAGCGGCAACCGGTTGGTAAGGATCAAGCAAAACAGGTTGGGACAGAAGAGGTCGGACTCGATCGAGCTAGAGTTGGACTCGATCGAGCTGCCGATCGAGCTTGTCGTGCGAGCTCAACTGGTGAAGTGTGAATGGCCACAGTAGGTGCATGCACTTCTGGTTGATCAATCTGGACTCCAGGAGCCTCAGCAGCAACAATCTCTTCATCATTCAGCAGTAAACAAAAATCTTCAATGACCCTTTCTTGATCCTCTTCTTCAACAAGTCCTTCTTGAGTGAAGATGACCTTGCACTGTTCCTTGGGGTTCTGAATAGCTTTACCAGGTAGTTGTCCTTGCTTTGTAGCAGCAGCAACAGAAGAAGCATGATTCTCCAGAGAGTAAACCCTTGTGTTGAGGTTCTCGATCTTAGAGTTTATTTCAGCTAGCTTCTTGCTTGTGTCCACTACCCCATCAGCTTGCCCTTGAAGTAGTTGCTTTAGCATTGCTTGAGCTCATTCTCTTGTGAAGGTGCAGGCTGGGGCGGTTGGTGGGGAAGCCTGGTGGGATATTCATTTGTTGTCCAGGGAAAGTGCCTTGTGGTCCTTGGTAATTGTTCTTTTGACCATACCCATGTTGTGGCACCTTGACTCGATCGAGCTGCTTGTTGTTGAGGATATACTTGGTCCTGAGGGTTAGCAACATCAGTGTTGCGGTATGACATGGCAGGGTTGGACTTGTAGTTATAGTATCCTTTGTTGTAACCTCCTTGCCCATTGCTCATGTAGCACACCTCAGCAAATTGTGTATCCTCCCCTTCTTGGACTGGTTCCATCTCCTCAGCAGACACAAAGTTGACTTTCTTCATTGTGGACTGAGCTAGGATCAGCTTATCCAACTTCTCATTCAATGCCTTAACATCTTTTCTCAACTTTTCGTCTGACTCGATCGAGTGGTGGGTCGAGCTCCGGTTGGTGCGATCATACTCTTCTCCATAGCTTCCATTTGAGTTAGCTATGTTCTCCACAAGTTGCCAGCCATCATCTACATCCTGGTTGAGGAAGTTCCCATTGCTAGCTGTGTCTAGCATCTCCCTATACCTAGGCAAGCATCCTCTATAAAGAGTGGAGAGTAGTGATTCATTGTTGAATCCATGGTGTGGGCACTGACTTGTGTAGCCTTTGAACCTCTCCCAAGCCTCTGCGAATGTCTCATTGTTTCGCTGGATGAAGCTGGATATCTCTCCTCTAAGCTTGGCTGTGCGACCGGTGGAGAAAAACTTAGCAAGAAAGGCCTTCTTGCATTCATCCCAAGTGGTGATTGTGCCATGGGGCAAGCTCTTCTCCCATTGGTGAGCTTTGTCAGCTAGAGACATAGGAAAGAGTCTCAGCTTGATGGCATCTTCAGAGACACCATTGATCTTTGTCAAATCACAAAGCCTATCAAACTCATCAAGGTGGTCAATGGGGTCTTCACTTGGCAATCCATGGAACATCTTGTTCTGGACAAGGTTGATCATTCCCAGCTTGATCTCAAAGTTGTGGTTCTGCACTGGTGGTGGAACAATCCCTTGTCTCTGTTGGTGGCGGTTTGGAGCATCTCCTTGACCAATCGGTCGAGTTTGCCTAGCTCGACCGAGTCCATTCCCAAAGGGTTTCCATTCCCCTCTGGTACATCCATTGTATCAGCAACAAGCACCTCAGGTTCCTCTTGTACCCTCTGTGACCTCTGAACCCTCTTTCTACCCGTTGTAAGTCTAGCTCGACCAAGTCTCTGTAGACCGACTCGATCGAGTTCGCATACACCTGCAAAAAGAGACAAAAACCCAGCAGTACAATAGAACAGGGGTGGTATAGCTTGATCGTCCAAGTGTGTTTGAAACTCAAATGCAACAAAAATATTCCCAAATCGGCAACGGCGCCAAATTGATGATAGGATTTGTGTGTGGATGTGAAAAGATATGAAATGAGATGAGTGGAATGCAACAGTGGTATATGATGAGGTGGTAAGATGCAAACACAAACACAGTCAACAATTCCCTTTAACCATCATAGTCATGTAGTACAAAGGGTTATCAATCCAAAATGGGAAACTTGTCACTCTATGAGAATATGAAACAACCAGAAAGTCAAGCAAGCAGTTATAGATTTGAAGTAACACTAACAACCTAAAAAAATGAAAAGCAGTGCAATAAAAGTAAACAAAGCAGTGAAGTGTCAGCTCGACCAAGAGCTCGAGTCGAGTCAGACAAAGTACCAGCTCGATCGAGTTTAGGGACGAGTTGAGACAAACAAAGCTAAAGGTGACGACTTTAACAAGATAAAGAGAGAATTAGGGTTCAAGACAGGGTTTTGCAATCAAAGGAATCTACACTTAATCAATCTAGCTCTTAAAACTCCTTGTATCAAGGCTTCTCTTGATATTGGGCTTCTCAATGCCTAGCCAACCCTTTCCCAAGGTGGAGGCTATCAACCAAGGAATGATCTCAGAAACAGGGGGTTAGCCAGTGAGAATCAAACCTTGGAGGCTATAGGATCATTGCCCAAACTAATCCATCCAACCCCTTAGACCTCTATTGTCTAGAGCAAGAGATATTGGAGCTCTTAGTGGATCTTTTCCAGCGAATGCCATCACTTTCGTGTGGGGAGTCGCCTAAGGACTTACAAGCCAGGGGTAGTGGTCATGTAGCCTTAAGATCTATCCAAAAGAGAGAGAATCTAGATTAAGACCATAAGCTAGAAGGATTAAGCATATGAAACCTCTAATCTATCCCATCTCAAACCCTAATGGGTAACTACTCACTACACATGAATGTAAACACAAGCAAATGCAATAAAAGAGACATCATAAGAAAGAGGAGATGAAATTAAACAACTTTTATTGAAATAAGCAAGTGCAAATACAAAGAGAGATTATCCAGGATCTAGGATTCAAGAAGCAAGAGCTTCAAGAACACAAAGATGGGATTAGATCTCTAAAAAGTAAAAGACAATAAATTAAAAGAAACTAAAACAAAATAATCTAAAGCTTGGTGGTTTTTTCGTGGCTTAGAGCCTTTAAATACAAGAGGATTAGGTTTAGGGTCAAAGGAAAGTCAAGGGGGAAGCAACATTTTTCGGGTTTGACTGTTGACTTCTCAGCTCGATCGAGTTGAAGCTTGGCCGGTCGAGTTGAGGAACTCGACCGGTTGGTCGAGTAGACGGTCGAGCTGGTCTTCAAGATGGCTTCTCCCTTCTTCCTTTGCGTATCCAGTTGAGCTGCTTCCATGTGCCAAGTCCCTCCATGCTCCTTGTCCCATATGCTCCAGAATGCTCCAAAAGACCTATTTCAAAGGACCAAACATGCATATGTATGCAAATGCAACCTAAAACTAACATGAATGCATAAGAAGAGAAAAGGAACAAGATATGATGCAAATGGAAGCTAAAACTATGCAAAAGATGCATAAAAGATGTGCTAAAACTATGTAAAATGCAAGTACATCAGTGCCAAAGATGTTTCGGTCCATACCCCCTGTTACGAATTGCAAGGAAACAAGAAACAAGAAATTGTTTCAAGTCTCTGACAATGGAAAGGTACAAGGTAAACTTTCTCAAACTGTTTATGATGATTCCATGACTGGTATAATGCGCTTGTCTTTCTCCAAAAGTGTTGAGACAGGTACAGGGTTTAATGGAGAACATATGGAGAAAGCAAATCAAGAAGAGGAAACTCAACCAAACCTGGATCTGCCAGAATCTAAACCACCAGACCAACAACTACAAGGTTTAGGTGTGACAAGAAAAGAAACGAATAAGGAGGAGTTGCCAACTCAAGTTCCAAATCCCAAGTCAGCAGAAAACACTTTTTGTTTGATAATGCCAAAAGAGATTAGATCAGAACCACACATTCAGCCTGACCCAGGTAAGTGTCTACAACCTTTTTCAATTAGTAAAACTCATGAGCTTTCTAATGTTGCAGGAAGAATAGGGTTGAATCTTAAGCTCTCCAACAAAAAATCAGAAGTAAAATCATAATTTCTGTTGAGAAAGCTCCTAATGATGAGTTAGACCATGAGTTCAATCAGAACCGAACAACAAGTGGAAGTCAAAAACAGAACAAGGATACAGTCAAGCCATGTCTACTTCTAAGCTAAGTGCAATCTTCAACCAACACATTCATCATGTCTTTTTAACTGTCTTAATGCACTTGTCTTGGTTTAAAGAAGTTGAGAAAGGTACAGCTGAGCAAGAGAGACACCTAGAAGCTCACAAAGCATTAACTTGTCATACCAAGGAGGAGTATGAGCAACCTGTTCTTGAGCCAATTGCCACAGCTGATTCACTTATGAGTGTTTTGCATAATACACAGGTAAGTGAAGTTCAATACTTGATTTACTATTGGGATCATTTCATGATATATCAGAAACTTCAGAATTTTGTTTTTGAAATTCCCATTTCAAGTATAATGCACTTGTTCTTTTCCTTGAGTGTCAACAAAAGATCAGGTTTGATGGATAAGCATAAGGACTTAGAAGGAGCATCATTAAGGAAGAACACATTCTCATCTCACGTTCCTATCATTCCTAGTTCATTTATGGTCCTTTGTTTAAGTTCTCTATTCACTAGAGGCAAGGCAGCACTGATCGGATATCAAGAAGAATGGCTAGCATGCTCCAATCGAATTCCGGAGAAACCACCAGACTCCTATCCACGATATTCAAAGCAGCCAACTCAAGGTAAGTATATAGATTCCCAAAGGCGTATGAGACCTAACTTGCTTTCTTTTGGTCCAGGAAAAACAGTTTTGAGGACAAATCTTTTTGAAGAGAGAGAGGATGATATGACTATGCCCAGCACTAGAAGCTTGAACCTGATGGAGCTAAACATGTGGAGCTGGAACCTGATGGAATTAAAGACATAAAGCTTGAGGTTGAGGAGAAACTTGATGTCATGGACAAACTTGTTGCCAACCATGAGCTTGCAGCCGAGAAGAAGCCTTTAGCTGCGCTAATGCAACTGGTTACTCATTCTGGAGTTAATCTTGAGCCAAGATGGAGAAGACATGATCCTAAACCTCCCTGGTTTTTTGATCCAAGCTCAAGAGATCAGCAAATGGGCATGTGTCTCATTTGTACTCTTTTTCCCTTGTCAAATTTTGTCCCAATGGGTTTTCTTGACAAGATTTTTAATAAGGCAAATGGGTCACATTCAAATCACCCATTTACCTGATCAAGACCAAGGCCCATCAATAAAGAAGGATAAAAACGTGGCCATGAAGTTCAAGGGTCTATTTCAGTGTTCAAACTTTCATTTTATGTTGTGTGTGTTTCCCAGATAGTCTTGGAGCTTGTTCCTTGACTCATCTCTTCTTCTCCCCTTCTTCTTTCCCTTTATATTCTGCTGGACGAAACCCTTTTGAGTTTAACCTACTTTTGAATGAAAACCTTTTCTCTTTGTTTAATCAAAATCTCTCTTAGTGAGTTATATCTAAGAAAACCTCTCTTAGTGTGTTATATCTAAAAAATCCCTTTTCTTTTGTTGTGTGTTATATCAACAAGATAGAAGGTGGCGTTGGAGATCTTTATCCATCAGATCTCTGGTTTAAGCCATTCACTTCCATCCAATCCATTCCATCCATTCAATCCATCGATTCCATTCAAGTCCAACCATTTTATCACTCCATCTCTATCACTACTTGCTTCAAAGTGATGATCTCAATCAGGGTTCTATCAAGTGGTATCAGAGCCACTTTGAAGCTAAGTGACTCCATCCCTAGTTGTTTAATTTTCGTTTATGCATCTTGTTAAGAGTGACTGTTCATCTTTTAGATCTGACGAGTTTTGTTAGTGGGCATCAATTTAATTGTTTGCACAATTTTAAAATTATTGTCATAATTAATCTTGATCATTCTCTCATAGATCCATCCATCCACAAGTGTTTCCATATTTTTAGAAATTGTTTGCATAATTTCTAGAATTTTTCTTGAGCTTTTTCCCTTGAACTTCTAACTGCCGATCTCAATCAGGGTTCTATCACATTGTCGTTTTTTCCCCACCAGAATTCGGAAAGAGCACTATTGATTTCCTCACAAACCTGTTTTGGAAATAAAAAGCAACTCATTGAACAAACTGGTTTAGATTGAGCTATAGACTTGCTGAGAACCTCCTTTCCCGCTGTACTCAAGAATTTATTGTACCATCCTCCTATATTCTCCTTTACTCTCGATACAACTCCCTTGAACGCCTCTGATTTACTTCGACCAAACTGCTCTGGTAATCCTAAATACTTACCTCCTCCTCCTACTTTATCTATACCTAGGATTCCTTGAATGACCCGTTTCCTCTGATGACCAATCCTCATCCCAAAAATAATAGAAGATTTCTGCAGATTTACTTTCTGACCTGAGATGCTCTCATAATCGGCTAAAATTTTCGCCATTCTTTGGACATCATTATTCGACTTTTCAAAAGAATAAATAATCATCTGCAAATAGAAGATGAGTAACTGTTGGACATGACGTTGTTAGAGCAATTCCTGTAAACTCCTTTTTGGATTCAGCCTGAAGGAGCATCTGGGATAATGTTTCGGCACAGAGTAGAAAAAGATATGGTGATAAGGGGTCACCTTGACGGATTCCTCGTGTTGGTTTGACATCACCATAATCTGCTCCATTGACCAAAATTGAAAAAGATACTGAACGTACACAAGCCATCACCCACATTATCCATTTCTGATCGAAACCCATTTTCTTCATTACTGCCTCCAAGAAATTCTACTCTACTCTATCATAAGCCTTACTAATATCTGTTTTAATAGCTATTAATTGTTATGCACAATTTCTTTTCGCTTTCAGAGCATGCATTAATTCATAAGCTACTAATAAATTATCAGTAATGTTCCTACCAGGCACAAAAGCTGCTTGTGAATCAGAGATAAGATTTCCTAATATTCCTTGCAACCGGGAGACCAAAATCTTAGAAATTATTTTGTAACTCACCGTACATAAACTGATTGGACGGTAGTCAGCAAATGTGTCTCCTCCTGCTGGTTTTGGAATTAGACAAAGCTGTGTATGATTGATCCCTGGTTCCATGATACCTGTGTCAAAAAAAAACTTAACCATTGAGCAAAGATCCGCTCTTATATCTTCCCAGAATCCTTGGTAAAACGAAGCTGTGAACCTATCATGACCTGGGGCTTTATCCGACCCGATAGATAACACCGCTTCTTTAATCTCCATATCCGTGACTGATCTCAATAAAGCTGTGTTCATTGCTTCTGTTACTCGTTGATCCATGACTGATGTACTTGCATTTTGCATAGTTTTAGTACATCTTTCATGCATCTTTTGCATGGTTTTAGGGTCCATTAGCACCATATCTTGTTCCTTTTCCCTTCTTGTGCATTGTTAGTAGTTTTAGGTTGCATTTGCATACATATGCATGTTTGGTCCTTTGAAATAGGTCTTTGGGAGCATTTTGGAGCATATGGGATTAGAGGAGCAAGGAAGGACTTGGTGCATGGACACAGCTCAACCGGATACGCAAAGGAAGAAGGAAGAAGTCATCTTGAAGACCAGGTCGACCATCCGGTCGAGTTCCGCAACTCGACCGGCCAAGCTTCAACTCGATCGAGCTGAGAAGTCAACAGTCAAACCCGAAAAATGTTGCTTCCCCCTTGACTTCCCTTTGACCCTAAACCTCATCCCCTTTGTATTTAAAGGCTCTAAGCCACGAAAAAGACAACAATCTTTAGCTTATTTTTGTTTTAGCTTTCTTTTAATTAATTGTTGATATACCTCTTTTTATACTTTTTAGTATTGTTTTCTAATGGTTTTTGGCAGGTTTTCTATCTAAAAAGGTAGTTTTACTGTGTTTATAGTGTCTAGAGTCTAAACAGGTGAAATGATGCATTTTGGAGCAAAACCATAGGATTTGCACTTCAAGCCGCTCCATACACAAGCATCAACTTTAAGAGGGCCCAGAAAAAGATCTACTCAATGGATTTCATCAAGACCAGTTCCCTGCGTGCTCTGAGTTGAGTTAACTTTCCAACGCAACTGGAATGGCCTCATTTGGATGAGTAGAAAAGGAGTTATCCAAAAGAGTGAAGACTGGTCCAGACGGCTCTATCGAGAAACCGCGCCAACCGTGCAGAGCGGCTGGCCGAGGAACGAATGTTCCGCTCGGCCAAATCAACCGTCCGTCCTCGCCAACCATCGGCCGAGTCACGCACCGACCCGGGAAGCAATGTCCCGCGGTCGGCCAAGCCACAACCACCACGATGCCGCGCACGACCATGCCGCGCGAGCCGGGAAGAAGCCTCGCGGCCGCGACCTATCTCACGTACCACGGCCGATGCGCCGTCCGAGCCGGGAAAGCCGTCCCACGGCCGAGAAACATCGGCCAAATCTTCATCCGTCCGACCACAGCGGCCGACCACGAATCCTCCGGCCACGACCGTTCCGATCGTGCCGATAGCGACCATGACCCGATCCGGCCGATCGTCCCGACCGACCGTCCGAACGCCGCGGTCGACCCGAAGCCCGTTTCACGTATTTTCACGGCCCGGCTTAACCCTAAGCCGCCTCTGAAGACCTAGCACTATATATAAGCTTTTTAGCCTCTTGAGAAAGAGAGCCGCCCTTGTATCACGATTTCATACTTAAGTTTATTGCAATCATGTTTTCTTCATCTTATGTGTGTTTGCTTTGATCATGTCTGAGTAATCCACTAGTTAGGTTGCTAGGGTTACTAATCAATGAGTTGCTTGCATGATCTTTGATTTCGATGTTTAGCTAGGGATTATATAGAGTCTTTGTCTCGTCTTGTGCACTTAACTAATGCTGATTGCTTTACCGCGCATCTAGTAATCCGATCTTAGGTTGATTTGAGCCTCGACAGTGTTGTATCATTCGCCGGACATATTCTTTGACAAGCTAGGTTTCTTAGACTGCGAAAGTTGATCTACTATAATCTAGTGAACTGTATCAGAACCTATTCATTCTAAAGCTTGATTTAATCACCTAGGGACATACCAAAAGTTTAGCGACTAGGTAGATTAACAAAGGAGCCGGAGCCTCGAAAGTGGAATGGTTTTATATTCGTGATCTGTGTTCTAGACGGTTCTTAATATCCCAATATCCCTAATCAATTCATCTATCATTGTTTCATTGATCATTGCTTGCTTCTCTGCGATTAGCCCCTGTTGACCTAGCGCTTCTTCCTTATTGATTTACAACCTCGTTTATACTTGCTAGTTCTGTTCACCATTACAACCTCAATCATACTTTTGTTTTAGCTTGATCCAAAATCCATAGTTTCAAAGTGTACTCAATAGCCAGTCCTTGTGTTCGATACCCATACTTCCGCGATCTGTGCACTTGCAGAGGTCTAAGAGTTTGGTAAAACCTGACTCAACATCAACTGTCTTTACTTTTTTGCAAAACCCTAGCCTCTCTTTGTGTTCTTGAGCTCTTGCTCTTGAATCCTTAGATCTTGGCTTTATCTTTCTGTATTTGCACTTGCTTATTTCAATAAAAGTTGTTTATCTTTATCTCCTCTTTCATATGATGTCGATTTCAATTGCATTTGATTGTGTTTACATTCATGTGTAGTGAGTAGTTTCCTTTAGGGTCAAAGATGGGCTAGATTAGGGGATCTTTATGCTTAATCCTTCTTGCTTATGTTCTTAATCTAGAAATCTCTCTCTTTTGGACAAACCTTAAGGCTACATGACCACTATCCCTGGCTTGTATGTCATTAGGCGATTCTCCACATGGAAGTGATGGAAATCGTTGGAAAAGGTCCACTAAGAGCTCCAATAACTCTTGCTCTCGAAATGGAGTTCATAGGGGTTGGATGGATTAGTTTGAGCAATGATCCTATGGCCTCCAAGGCTTGATTCTCACTGGCTAACCCCCTGTTTCTGAGATCAGCTTTCACCTTGGGAAAGGGTTAGCTAGGCATTGAGAAGCTCAATATCAAGAGATACCTTGATACAAGTTGTTTGAGAGCAAGATTGATTAAGTATAGCTTCCTCTGATTGTAAGACCCTGTCTTAGACCCTAATATTCGCATTAGCTTGTTAAAGTTCATGCCTTTATCGCTTTTTACTTCAACTCGACCCTAACTCGATCGAGCTTGGTTACTCTGTTCCCACTCGACTCGAGTCCTTGGTCGAGCTGCTTGCTTTACTGTTTCATTAGGTTGTTAGTGTTACCTCTTATCATTTACTGTTGCTTGACTTCCTTGTTATTGCATATTCTCATAGAGTGACAATTTCACCCATGGATTGATACCCCTTATACTATAATGACTATGATGGTTAAGGGGAATTGTTGATTGTGATTGTGTTTTGCATCTTACCACCTCATCTTATATACCACTGTTGCATTCCACCACATTTCATATCATATCTTTAACACCCACACACAAATCCAATCATCAATGATTGAAATGATGTCATCAATATCCACTGTATCAGAAGCCGTGAACATTTTCTGAAAATAATCTTATCTGACCTTTGCTATTGCCTCATCTTTGGTGTGTATGAATCCTGCATCGTCTAAGACTTGTTTGATACAAGTTTTTGGTTTTGGTGCCTTTGTCACACCATGAAAAACCGCCGTGTTCCTATCTCCCACTTGTAACCATCTGTTTCTACTCTTTAATTCCCAGAAAACCTCCTCATTATGGAAAACTTGATTCAAATCTGATCATAGTTTCTTTATTTCCCATGATGCTCTATGTGGATCCCGTAGCGCCATATCCAATTGACTGTGGATCATTTGGATATCTTCAGCTGCATTGACTCTATGTCGTCTCTTCCATTTAGCCATTTCTCTGCGGCATCGTTTAAGTTTAGATGAAAATTCCAGATGCACCTGATTTCTGTTTGTCCAGAAATTAACCACCGTTTGAACAAAGTCTTCATCCTGAGCTAGTCTCTTATCGTAACGAAACTGTCCTCTCTTCACTCTGCCCTCATACTCAATTGAGACTATCAAAGGTCTGTGATCTGACTGTGCTAAATCCAAGAACTCTGTTTTTGAAGCAGGAAAAGCTTGTCTCCACTATGTGTTCGCTAACACCCGATCCAAACAGCATTCAGTAATGCCGTCTCTAGTATTTACAACCCAACTAAACATGTTTCCCTTGACCTTAATATCCTGCATATCACAAACCTCAAACAACCTTCTGAAGTTCTTGAAGCTACTCTCTGGTCGAATCATTCCTCCTTTTTCTCATTATTATTTAGGATTTCATTGAAATCCTTACACATCATCCAAGGACCTTGGCGTGTACTTGAGATCCATTGTAAATGATCCCACAAATTCTGTCTTTGATTTGGAATCGGATGACCGTAGACACATGACAAATAAAACTGAAATGATTTATATTGCACATGAAGATCAACAAGACGAGAATCAGCAGAAATACAAGAAACAGAAACAACATACTTCCAGAAAACAACTAAACCTCCACTTAAACCTTGCGGTGACACAATCTTCATCTGATCATAACCTAACTGACTTCCTATGTCCCGAACATAATCATCAACCTTCTTAGTTTCCACTAGGAACAGCATGTCTGGGAGATACACCCTATGTATCTCCTTGAGACGTCGAACTGTGAGGCACTGTCCCAAGTCCCGACAGTTCCACACCTCAACTCTCATGGGACTGGTGGTGGTACCGGGCCCACCGCGCCTCCGTTAGTGTGAGTCAGGTTTGGAGAGGGAGTACCTGAACCCGTGTAATCAGCCTGTAGTTTCTTCAGCGAATCAGAAGCATCACTCGGCAGTTCCAGACTCTTCAGTTTCACCACTCAACCATGCCTTCTTCTGTGTCGGCTCTGCTTGCAACTCTTGCATAACGTTGTAACCCATGAAGCTTCCATATTGTTCGAATGACCCATCATTATCCATACGACTCTCCCACTGCAGAATGATATGATCATCATCCTCTTCCTCAGGTTGTTGCTGGCCACTACGTGCCTCACTTGCAGTCACTTGAGCTCGGAGTGCCTCCTCTCGTTCCATATCCTCCACCAAAGCGTCAACGAAGCGTCTCTTCCTCATCACCTGATCTTCCATCCTATCAGGTTCCATACGTGTTGCATTCACATCCACCTCTATTTGTGATGCGTCTTCAGCAGAAGAGAACTCCTCAAGACCCTCGTAATCCTCTGGTGCATCTTCCTGTTGACCCTCTCTCTCTCCATCGGCATTTTCTTGGCGATATTGTTCCTGGAGTTGTTGAATCACCGGATCCGGGATATGAATATGCTCCTCCTCCATCTGGTTTTCATCGCTTCCTCCATCATCATCATTATCATGTGGCGGAGATTGACCGTCCTCCTGAGGAACACAATCCCCTGTGTCATGTGTTAACATGCCACACTCTTCGCAAAACCCACAAAGTCGTTCATACCGGAACTTGATTACAGTGTTGACTCCCGGAGTGAATTGAAAATTCCTCTGGAAACACAGCGGGTGGTTCACATTCAGAAGAATCTTAGCATGGATGAATTCCGCTGCTGCTGCTATCTCCGGATTGAAATCGATGACATCCACATGCCCCAAGGAATCACCAATGTGGAAAATCACATTGCGAGACAGGAATTGACTCGGGATACCTCAGATTTGAACCCAAAAAGGTATGGAGTTGAAATCCGAGTCATCCATGTCGGGAAACCACCTTTTGAGCACCAGCATGCGGTCATTGAACGCCCATGGACCCCGGTTGAGAACGGATTGCATCAATTCTTCCGAAGGGAACACGAATTGGAACCGCCGCCTTTCAATCACCCGACCAGAGATCAGGTATGTGAGTCCCTAATTGCGAGGCAAAGTGCCTACAATTTCTCTTAGGTTTTGACGGCGAGGAATCAGCACACGGCCAATCAGCGAGAATTGATTCACACGGGCAGCCTCAGAAACGACCTCCGTCGGTAACGCCACAGGAGCGTCATTAATTCCAAGATTCAGATCTTGGATAGCACGGCGCAAGTTGTTCGCCATTGAAAGCAAATCGGAATGAGATTTGAAGTAATATAGCCGGAAAAGAGAGATTGATAGAGTGTGTGGTAATCGATGAAGAAAAATGAAATCTGGCTGTATAGATTTATACTCCCATCGATCCCAGGAGTCGAGAAACCGTAACACATCATAGTGGCACACGATCACCACTACGGAGATGTAGATTGCGGTGAGGAAACCGCCATGGAACTGCTTCACGATGTCTTCAACCGTCCCGGAAATGAAGATCGTGGAGAAGAGATAAAGTAACCGTAAAATCGCCAAAAAATCGCCTTTAAACATCATCTGTTTTTTTATTTTACTTGAGAGTTTCTTTTGCTTTCAAATAGATTTCTATGATGGTTTTTATATTTTTTTATTAACAATTAAATTGAGGTATTTAAAATGGTTTGACTTGAACAAAAAGATTTCATTTAAAATCTCATAACTAAAAAAATCAATACAATAAAACCTCTTGTTCCTCTCCAAGTGATGACACGTTGGTTTTTTAAATCATTCTGAAACTGTCACATCATTTAAAATGTATTGGCAATGAAAACATTTTAAATAATACCAGTCAGTAACTTCTTGGTTCACTTGCCATATATTTAGTATTTTATTTTTTTTTTCATTTGAACCGTCCCGGTTTTGTTTTGTTGCATTCGTCTTGTTCCACCAAAGTTTGGTTCTTCTTCGACAACAAATCAAAGCCATTCGCATGAACAAGTCTCCCTTTCGTTCTTCTTCTTCCAAGAAATCAAACCCCATTCGCGTGAACAATTCTCTCCCTCTCCGCTCGGACGTAGATCATCGTCTGAGTTATTTTCCCTGTTTGTATTACAAGTGGACTAATTACGGAAAAGGGTGGAGATCATACTCTAAGATCCGGCGCCGGAAAAATGTAAATCAGTTAACTCCTTCGGTAATCGGAGATATTTCTATTGATTGTCTCTCGAGGATGAATAGCTGCAGTGGCCGTGGTCGTCGGAAACACCACCTAACCATCGGCATTGTTCATTTTAAGGTATGCATTGATAGTTCTCTCAAATTCAGATTGAGTATTTAAATATCAATGGCGTGATTTGACTCCCCTTCTGGTGTGTGATTGATTATCCAGTTTCATGATTTATTGATTTCCGTTCTACAAATTTATAGTCTCCTTTAGAATCACAATTGGAATTTTCATCTGTTGTTAGTGAAAAAGACTAAAGACCTTAAATGTGATTTCTCTAACAAGAGTCTTTTATCGTCTTCTCATCTTCTGTCATGTAATTGTACTTCTGTAGTTTGTCTTTATGCATTTCATTTCTTGTTTTGATTATCTTCTTCCGTATTATGTAGTTTAGAGAACCTCTTTTGGTTTCTATAAAGATTTTTAGGTTCTGCTTATCTGTAGACTGTAATGGGCCACATGAACAGGTTTGATATGGTGTCAAAGTTTTAAAAGTTAATTTCCCTTGTTTGTAATTGTCTAGGTTTTCGTTGAGGTTCACTTTTCTTTTTGGTGTTTTAAAAATGGTTAGTGTCGAAACTTCTTCTTAAACTCCTTCATTAATTTCCACTCTCCTCATATGCAACACAATCCTAATCGTATGTTTCATGAGTTTTATGAGTTTGTGGTTTCCTCTTCTTTTTGTGAGACTTGAGCTACACAAATCTCAAATCTCAAGCATTTCCATATCTCCCACTGGTCCACAGTATTTTATATGTGTATTGATGATTTCATATTTCTGTATCTTAGAGCTATTTGAATAACTTGCTTAGGCTGTTAAATGTATGGCATTCTTTATTTCGCTTCTCTCATCATAGTTTGATAGTGTAATATGATGTTCTTCATAAAAACGTGGTGAACTTTGTCTATATTGATAGATTTTGCTCCACCGTATTTGGATTGTCTGTTTTACACTCACGCACTCATTATATATATCAGGTCCTATATCTGTATTGGGTTGTATCCGTATGTTTTCCTGTAGCTCCTAGGAGAAAGCCAAAGTCGAAGAAAAGACTGAGATAATGCATAGTTTTAAATAGAAAAAGTGTACTTTCCCTTCAACTTCAAAAAACAAAACTTAGATATATGTTTGATAATGTGTTACAGCAAAATAAGTGTTAACATAATGAGTTACATTAAGAGAAATGTGTTCGCATATTGAACAGTAAATTAAACTTAGTCAATGAAACGATAGACAAAGCAGTTCTCACAGACATCATCATATTCACCGGCAACGCTATCATCTCCTTCCAGCTCGGTGAGCAAATGATCATAAGCCATATAGTCTCTTACACTTAACTCAAGAAGTTTATGCTGTTTCACAATATCCAGATGAATGCAAATTTAACTATAAAAACTAAGAGTTGAGAAGCACTTCATATGATTCTTTACCATCCAACATGACTGCAATGTGTAGACATCTCAAGGCGAATACTCGAATTATTTCACTTTTCACATGTTTTTATTCGATTAAGTTTCAATTCACTTTTGAAACAGAAAATGCTAAATTCACGCATATCTATAGAGAAACAAACCAAAGCAGAAATAACGTTAAAGTAATGGAAACAAAAAAAGATAAACCTTCCCTTGATTCTTACAGTGTCGAAATCAATCAAAGAGATTCCTCCAATTAGAAGGTGATTCCGGATACTTATTAGGTTGAAGGAACATAAGGATGGATTCCTCCGATTCCTCGAACTCGAATCTCTCTCCTCCTTCATTTCTCTTCACGAGTTTGAAATAAGCCGACAAGAACGAAATACTGAAGCATTGCGTTGTCGATTTGATTATTAAAATGGCCCATTGGACTAATACCCAATATACAATTCTATTAAACCAAATACATTGATCCTAGAAGCAAATATCTTTATATTATTAACTAAGAAGTACTCTTTGGATATAAGAATTAGAGAAACATCTATTTGGATAGAATAATAAATGGAAACAAAAGTTGTTTAGATATAAGAATAAGAGAAAAAAATATTTGGATAAAAGAATAAATGGAAAAAATTGTTTGGATACAAGAATAGTAACTTAAAATAAATCAATGGTTTAGAAAACTTCCGTTTTCCGTCTCTTAAAAAACTGCAAAAAAAAAACTTAACATAATCTAACGATAATTCCAAATCAATAGAATATACTTTTTGAATTTTCGGGTTTTTATAGACAAGTTCGGCCCATTGGACTAATACCCAATATACAATTCTATTAAACCAAATACATTGATCCTAGAAGCAAATATCTTTATATTATTAACTGAGAAGTACTCTTTGGATACAAGAATTAGAGAAACATCTATTTGGATAGAAGAATAAATGGAAACAAAAGTTGTTTGGATATAAGAATAAGAGAAAAATCTATTTGGATAGAAGAATAAATGGAAAAAATTGTTTGGATACAAGAATAATAACTTAAAATAAACCGATGGTTTAGAAAACTTCCGTTTTCCATCTCTTAAAAACTGCAAAAAAAAAACTTAACATAATCTAACGATAATTCCAAATCAATAGAATATGCTTTTTGGATTTTCGGGTTTTTATAGACAAGTTCGGGTTTGGGTGAAAATCTGAGACATAATTTTATAGAGATATATATAGAGATATAGAAATTGTTCGGGTTTCTTTGAAAATTTCTGTTCGGGTTAGGTTCAATTTTTTTTTCAGTTTAGGGTTTTCCGGATTTTTTAGATTTCTGGTTTTCGGGTTTAGATATATTAAAAAAATTGAGTATTTTAAAATTTTGATTAGGTATTGGGGTCGGGTTCCGGGTGAAAAAGTTTCCAGATTTTTTTTGTTCAGTCAGGGTTTTCGGGATTTTTTTTATTTCGGATTTTCATGTTTAGACCTATTAAAAAAGTTTGGGTTTTTAAATTTTTTTATTAGGATTTTTTGTCGGGTTCAGATTTAGGGTTTAAATTTTTACACAAAACAACAACGTCACACCGCACAAACGTGCGGGTACTCTACTAGTTGTTAATATCATATCGAGGTCAAATGTTAAAAGATAATTGTTGTTTGCATATATTTTTGGTTATTCATCATCATTTATATACTTTACAAATTGTGCTCTTAATGTTTTTCCTTTATGTGTTATTCTGTATATATGTTATTGATGTTAATTTATTAAATATTTATACAAACAAAATTTTTTTGAGTGATTTTGTTTTTAAATGTTAGAAATAATCAATACTTTAGTTTTTTTTTAACATCAAAATCAATAATTTAGTTTTATATATAACTTATTTTTATTACTTAAATTTAACTGTTAGCTTTCAACAGTTAAACATTTTCCATGAAATTTTATTACATACACTATCTTTTTACATAATATATGTTATTATAAATTTTAGACATTTTAAATTTTCAGTACATTTTTTTCTTTTAAAAACAAATCTTTTGCATCTACTATTAAAAATTAACTTTTAATTTTTTAATTATAAAGTTCAACCAATTTTTATTTATTTATGTCTTTTATATTTTTATTAATCATTTTTCTAATACATTTTTATATTTTTGGTTGAATAATAAATTATTCAATGATATTATGAAAGTGTATATATTAATTGAATAATTAATATTGATTTAATTAATTTGTATTTTTTTTGCTGATGTGGACACTGTAATACATTTACATTCACCAAAAAAAAAAAGATATTAATGTTAAGACCATTCTCGATGATTTCTTAATGAATTCAAAGTATTCAAAGATTTGAAATAAATTTACCAAAAACACTAAGTGTAACATCCCGGTCTGTGATAAATGAGGAGAGGCTTAAGAGAATTGATTTGGCTACCTATGTCAACAAAGTGCACTTACCTTTTCGGTCAAAGGTCTATAAGTAACTCCAGAGTTAAGCGTGCTTGGGCTGGAGTAGTTGAAGGATGGGTGACCTTCGGGAAGTGGTTTCCGAAACCGTGTGAGTGAGGCCAAAACACGGGGAAAGGTCGGGTGTTGATTGCAGGGATAGTAAACAAGTCATTAGAGCCTCTCAAAAATAACGGACCGGCCGTCGGACAGGGGTGAGGCCCACAGGCCAAGATGGGCATGCGGGCCCAGAGAGAGGGCGTGGGTGACTCACCGGGAGGGGCGGTCGGGGCGTTATAATTTGGTATCAGAGCCAAACCCAGACGAGAGTGTGGAGTCAAGTTGAAGTGGCCTTGACTCACACCGTCAGGGGGTGACGATCCAGGTGCGCAACGAGGACGTTGCGCATAGTGAGTGGGGTGAGTTGTAACATCCCGGTTTGTGATAAATGAGGAGAGGCTTAAGAGAATTGATTTGGCTACCTATGTCAACAAAGTGCACTTACCTTTTCGGTCAAAGGTCTATAAGTAACTCCAGAGTTAAGCGTGCTTGGGCTGGAGTAGTTGAAGGATGGGTGACCTTTCGGGAAGTGGTTTCCGAAACCGTGTGAGTGAGGCCAAAACACGGGGAAAGGTCGGGTGTTGATTGCAGGGATAGTAAACAAGTCATTAGAGCCTCTCAAAAATAACGGACCGGCCGTCGGACAGGGGTGAGGCCCACGGGCCGAGATGGGCTGCGGGCCCAGAGAGAGGCGTGGGTGACTCACCGGGAGGGGCGGTCCAGACGTTATACTAAGTAAAAAAAAAGTTCAATCATTATGCTTAATACTCATGAAAAAAATAATGAAAATTAAAATTTAAGTAATCGAATTATTAATGAAAATTATTTTCCACAATTTATAATAATATTTTTGTCCTAAATTAATAACATGAAGGTGGTAAAAAAGGCATAACACAACCAACAAAACACATTTCAATAAATTACTATTACATAAATAAAAAAATAAAACCAATTTTCCGCGGCATAGCGCGAGTCAATATCTAGTATTGATAATTTAACAAATGTGTTTAAAATGAATCAACACATATACGGATATACCTAATGGGTCGTTTGATCAAAATACAGAAAAACAACAAGATCTCATAAAAGAAAAAAGATAAATTCAACACATTTTTTAGTAACTCAACCCTACATGAAAATAATAATGTTTTTTTTTCCAACTAAATAGTGTACTATATGAATAGAATATTCATCTTGAACTTTCTAGCGAATATGACAACAACAAGATCCATTATCGGGAGTACAATGGCCGCCATAAGGATAATGATGTCGTTTACAAAAATTAATGCAACCTATAACCCCATCACTGGCGCATGATCCAGCTCCATTGAAGCATGATCCACCGTTCCCATCTGTTCTATAGCCTACATATAATTACACAAAAAATCATTAAACCAACATGTACATTCATCCAAACAAATGAAAAAATGATCTCCATAATTATATGATATGCTATAAGAATAAACGAGTACCTAGAGCATTAGTAGTTGTTGTACTCGTACGACAATGAACAATAGATACGATGAAAATGATTGTAAAAACAAATGTAACTAGAGTTTTCATGGTGAGAACCATTTTTATGGGGTTGTTTTTTCCAACTTTTTGATGAGTTTTTCTTTAGTTACATTGGGTATATATATATATATATATATATAATTGCATAAAAATCAATAATTTTAGATTACGGAATGATAATAATTTCTTATGTTTGGTATGATTTTATTAGCTATATATATTTCCTTATTAGTTACGATATTACTCTCATTAACGAAGATTACGGATTTGATTTTACGAATTTATTTCATGGAGATGGTGTTATGATAATCTTTCTCGAGTATCCTATACTATAAAAGAAGGCCATATCTCCAGCTGACCGCCATGTCAGCATCGGAGAGATGGCCACGTGACACTCTAATTTTTTTTTTGCATTATTTGAATTTATTGATTAGATTTTATTATTTGTTGCGAAAATAAAGAAAAACGTTGCAATTGTTTCATCTTCCAAAAATTCTTCTCATCGTCATTATCCCATTCACATGTGCCAAAGTCTAATCTCTTATGCTCTTGATTTTTTGGCTTCTTTGTCTGAATCAATCATTACTGGGAAAAAAATCAATCGAACCCATCTACTATACCTTTGTTCCCAATCCCTCAATTTCAATTTTTGTGCCCAGTAATCTCACTATTGATGCAAGGAGAAAGATCGACGCAAAAGAGTATACACTTTCCCCAATCGAATATGCATGCTGGTTGTTTTATTTGGTGAGTTTTTCTTCAATTACATGACAGAAAACTGATTGTTACTTCTTCATATTTGATATATTTCAGGTGAGAAAATGAATTTCGTTTCTCACACTTTCTCTCGAAATCGAAAACTGCCAAAGGTTCGTTTCTCGAAACCCAAACGCTCCTAAATCTAAACTTCTTCTTTGACAATCAATATTGTAAAAATGCAGCCGCACTTGCATCCTCTAATAAATCGGATAAATTCTTTCATAGGTTTCTTTGGTCGTTGATTTGAAGCTGAGGGGAAGGCATGGACTACAGACGATTCAGTCAAAATATTTGTTTGAACATCGCATGTTTCTTCAAACTACTGGTTTAGAATTAGGTAAACATCAAAATATTTGTTTGAACATAGCATGTTTCTTCTTTCTCAGTTTCCCATGTTTTTGCGCCAGCCTGATACTAAGATTTTACTATCAATTATCCTAAAGCATGTATCTATCGCTGCAGTACTTTAGGTATCAATCCAATCAGGTGTGATGCTAGCAATCAAGATGTGACAGAACTACTTAATTCAAGCCAAATCTATCAGGTGGTTGTGACAGTGAACTTAAGAGATCGAGTTGTTAACCAATTCGATCGAGTCAGCGAGGAATGCAATCGAACTAAAGCAAGAATATAACAGTTGCAAATATCAGAGAAGAATCAAGCTCCTAAGGATGAGGTAATCGATCTGTAACTACTCCTAACATGATCTCGTCGCTTAACAAACCCAAGCACGGGCTAATCCCTCAACAACGAACTCAATAAACAAGATCAATGTACTTTCGAGAAAGAGATCAACAAACCTAGTGATTTCTCAAGACCTAATCATCATTAGCAAAAAAACACAAGCAAGCATTAAGAACAAGTTCGATAGAGTCGAAGTACTCTCTAGACATCTAATCCCTTAGGCTAGAACAGTAAATCTTTGGATCAGCTGGTTCAGGCATCTCATCGAACACCTCATGAGTGTGGAAATGTCTAAGATCCAGATCCATGTGATCAGAAAGAATCTGGCTTTAAGATCACTAATCCAGAAGGGATCGATTGGACAAACAACTCTTAAGCAACTCGATCACGCTATGATTCGCTACAGATCTATCCCATCCTCAGAAACTTAAAGAGAACTACTCGCTAGAACTCATGAGATAGAATTCAAAATCAACAGAGATAGAATGCATAATCAAAAGCAACAAAAAGATAGAAATCGAGAACACTGATAATACTTAAAACCGAAAAATAGATCTCAATACAACAACTGTTTCTCGAATGAAAACGATAGATAATCTGTTGGAGGCGCACCTCTCTGGTTTTGATACTCTCCAAAAACCTAGTGTTTTAGAAAAATGAAAAATAAATGAAAAAGGGAAAAGTTGGCCGAAACAAGCACTGGGTCGAGTGCTAAAAACATGTTAAGTATGAACACATCACAGCCCTGTTTCTAATCAACTTACAGTTTCCAGTCTTGTGCTTCTCATTTCACAATGGGTATCAGGCGATTCAAATTATGTCCCATTTTTGTTTTCCATTCATTTTCAGTAATAGATGCTAATGCTACACACCGCTAGAGATTTCGAAATTCAAATGAAAATTGTGATTGCTCTCCACACATGGTGACATGTATTGTAATATCCTGCATCAGAGTGGAATTTTTGCCGCATGATCCCAATCCCAATGGTCCGGATGGGATGATCAACTCTGAAGACGAAGAGAAGATAAAGCTGTTTCAAGAACGGTATGGCCGGGATAAGGAATTTCCGGACATTTCCGAGTAGCTAAGTGAAAGCTCAAAAGCATGGAACTGACGAAAGGATTAAAATAGGAAATTTTAATTCTCAAGCACGACGGGGACGAAACCCTCTGGAAGAGGAAACGTACAAAACCCTCCTCGAAAGGAAAGAGGCGGTGGAGCAATGGGATGACAACACCAGCTACTTGGAGATGATAAGAATGGTCTAAACCAGTAAGGAGGCGACACCATCAGCTACATAGGACGAAATTGTGCTGGACCAATCAAGTGTGAGCACTCAGCTGCTCATAATGGACGAAAATGTGTTGGACGAATCATGTCTAAGCACCCAGCAGCTTGAGGAAGGAGAAGGAGCCACTCATTCCAGGAAGATAGGATCAAGGAAGTGATGCTCATCTTGAATGGACCAATCAGGTGCAGCTACCCAGCAGCTTAGAAAATGGACCAATGGAAGGTGCCATTGTCATGGAAGGATATGGATTGGTCCAAGCTGCTGGAGGAATGTCTTCACGCCATTGGTTGCATAGAGGAGAGGTGTCACATCCTGAAGCAAGGAGATGCCACCACCAGCTTCCCTCCAAGCCTATAAATAGGACCCTTGGCCTCATTTCCAAACCACACCAAAATCAGAAAGAAAGAGAGAGAAAGTAGAGAGAGAAATAGAGTGAGAGGGAGGACGCCCAGAAGAAGAAGAAAGAGGAGGAGGAGAAGAAGAAGAAGAAGAAGAAGAAGAAGAAGAAGAGAGGGAGCGTTCGGGCAGAAGCTTAGGGCAAGCCGGCGGTTCAAGCGGTAAACCCGGAGTAGTAAACCTAGGCTAGAAACCGTTCAGCCGAAAGCACTGTGAGTTGTGGTGATGTTTGATTGCTTGTTAGGGAATGTTAGATTGCTTGATTGATTGATAGTTTGATTGTGAGTTGTGGTGATGTTTGATTGCTTGTTAGGGAATGTTAGATTGCTTGATTGATTGATAGTTTGATTGTGACTTGTGGTGATTGCTTGTTAGGGAATGCTAGATTGCGTGATTGATTGATTGATTGCTTTGATTGTTTGATTGATTGCTTTGATTGTGTGGTTCTTTGTTATGATGCTTGCTTGTTTGTTAGATCTTGTTTATTGTTATCATATTGCATGTGAGGTTACATGGTTACTTGTTTGATGTTGATGTTGGCGGTTCGGTCTTCTTTGGTACCCCTTCCTAGCAAATGGACTGGCTAGGTGGGAAGACTCGGAGAGACGGGATAGCAGCCTATGGCCGAGTACTATTCCACCTCATGTAGTCAATGTATTGACTAATGAGAATACTCGGAGAGACGGGGTTGCTGCCTATGGCCGAGTATGGAATAGACAGCCCGGGACGTGACCATCTGGGAGACAGAACTCGTTGGGTTGTGAACCGTGGAAACGGCGATCCAACGGGATGTGACTGTCTGGGAGATGGAACTCGGGTAGTGATGTTCTATCTCGCGTGCCTGTGTGGCTGTGAGATAGGTGTTCACGGGAAGTACCGAACGCGCGGAAGAGGAAGTGGTTGAGTGTGATGTTAAGTTTATTTATAGCTTGTTAACCATTGATTGATTGTTGTTGTTTATAATCTCTGATTGATCGTGCATGTTCTTGTTTGATTGTTGTGCGGTCAGTCTAGGGGTTATAGCAACATTGCTTGTTGTGTGTTATTTTGGGTTTTTGGGTGGGATTATTATTGCTTGTTAGTGGGAGCTACAACTCACTGAGCGATTAGCGCTCACCCCCCCACTCTCTTTTGCAGGAAACCAGTAGTTGGAGCAAGGACGTTAGGCCGCCAGCGTAGTTTGTCTTGCCTTTGTAAAATAAATGCTTTTGAATTTATGTAGTGTGGGTTTTGGGCATTAGGCTCGAATGTAATGTATTTTGATGTTTTGAGAAACCATATATAGATTAATAAAGTTTATTTTCTATATCAACTGGTTTCATCTGATATTAGCTTTGTCCGGGCTAACACAACTCTCGGCTTTGGTACGGGTTGAAAAGCCTTAGGCCTTGGCCGAGAGGGTCGAGCTCGCGGGACGGGCTGACCTGGACTGTGATGTGTTCTTCGTCCGGGACGGCCTATCCAGCAAACCTCGGCAAATTGTGACGCTCACCGGCTTTGTCTATGTGTTTAGATCGAGTCGGGGGTGTTACATGTATGCTCATATCAGGTTCGTTTTCGTCTATGATCTAATTTCACACCACACGCTATCCAACCCAATTTCCTGAATTTCCAAAAATTTCTACCAATAAAAATATTTATCTTCATAGGAAAATTATAAGCTACGATGATAAGGCTGAGGATGAGTCGCAAGTTTGTTTCAACTCCCTATATACTACTGCTTTGTTATTTTATCTCGGTGTGCACAAAATAATCCTTCCACGATTCATGTATTGTGTGTATTACAACATTATTTCCAATTTCTTTTATCATTTTACTTGTTTATTATTCTTTAAACAAAATATTTTCTGATATAAATTTGCAAAATCCCTTCTCGCATTTGTTGCAGGTAACATATGGATGCTTCTTACAAGTTCATTTGACTTGGGCCATCATTGACTTCGTGTAATTATCTGTAGCCAGCTTATCTGATTCTGATATATATGTTGATTTATTAGAGGTTGTGAAGTGTCTAGCCTCTTTTTACTGACTGTCTCATTTCCTGACGAAGAATAGGTAGATGGCCAGGAGGTATCGGAGGAGGAAGAAGTGGAGAATACTGTTGAGGATGAAGATGGACCAAAAAATGTGGTAGATGCATTTAACTTTGAATATAGGAAATATCATAATTCTATTGCAAATTTTGGTGATGCTGATGGTTTTTACTTTCTAGGCAGAGAACATAAGGAATCTCGAAAAAACTCACAGATTGGCTGTTGTTAACATGGAGTGGGGATTTGTTAGGTTAAGTTCTCAATCGATGATGTGTTATTCAAATTAGCTCTCTTTGGCTAATAGGCATGGAACTAATCTCATTGGGAATGGTTAAGCTTGTTTATTTCCTTGCATAGTCTAGCGTAAGTGTTGTATGCGTTTATAAGCATTTGTTCTTATGGTTGCTGTCTTATTTGTTAATTATGCTCAAGACTTATTCCTAGTTTTGAATTAGTGTACGTGTCAAAAACTGGGTTTCAAGAAAATTGAGTTAGACTTATATGATCCATAGATTTTAGAAAAGCGATATATGTTGTCGGTAGTTATCTTACATGAATTGAGGTGACTCAGACACTCAGTGACTCAGTGTGACTAATTGTTCTCTATGCTTCTCCTTCTTTGGGTTTAGGTAACGTAAACAAAAGAGAGGGAATACATTGACATTGACTTTAGGAAGATTCATTGACATCGATCACGTATCGCAACAAGGTATGTCTCTTGTGTGCATTCTTCTTGCTTATATCGTTCAGAAAATTATAACCTTGCCCTTCATCCTAATCCAGTCTAAAATAATCAAAAAAGTTTTGTGGTCTCCACTCTGTGTAGTCAAGAATTGCATCCACTCTTTCTATAGTTTCAAGGTGCAAGTTTGTGGTGATAGTTTTATGCAAGGAACTAAGAACCTGAACTACCCATTTTATAAGCAGAGAGACACAGTTGTTGAGATTATTAAAGAGATCACTTGTGTATAAAAGAGTAAAGGCAAATACTCTGGCATTTGGCATCGTAGTTGGATATGGTCCAAGGCTGACACTGTGGCGGCAATTATGCAGATGATAAAGGCAAAGTATTTGCGCTAAGACAGTTAAAAAGCCTTTTGGATTTGGTTTTGGTTTTGATCTGTAGATATCTAATTCTACTTTTGGCTTACGCTTTACATTATTTTAATTTGGTTAATGTTCATATGGTTTCGACTTGATAATTTTGAATAATTTGATTGCTTTAGTATCTATGGATTGGTAAGCTTCTGCAAGGCGTATGCTGTGAAAGAAAATGGTATGCTTAACATCTGACTTTGTTTGTGCTATTACTCTGTTTTCGCCTATGCTTACTCTGTTTCGTTCTCATCCTGATTATTGGTTCTTGTGTTGTCTTGAGCTGAGGCTAATTGCCACCCTCACCTCTTTGATCACAATGATGTTTTTGCAGAACGAAAGGAGAAAGAAACTCATAATGTTGGCTCGGAACTCATAATGTTGGCTCGGAACCTTTCATACTTATAAACATGTAAGTTTATATTAAAAATAAGGGTTTTCTGCAAATTAACCCTTCAAGTGGTTTTTGTTTGCAAATTTACCCTCGACTCTAGAAAAATGCATATCAACCCATCAAGTTCGAATTAACCCGCAATATAACCCGTATCTAAAATAAAAAAAGTTAATTTTTTTTTTGGTATTCACAGGCAAGTTTATTACATGTATTCAAACTAGTTTTTTTGGTATCCACAGACCAAGTTTATTAAAAGTATTATGTTTGAGTTAATTTATTCTATATATATGATTACAAAATTAAAGTGAATACATGATTCATTAACTTAAACAAGTGTTTTATCTACATTGGATATTGGAAATTAAATATATTTTTTTCTATTTCTTAAATAAAGGAGTCAGAGATTCTCTTCAATTCAAAAAAGAAGATGGAAAAAACCTAGTTCGGTTCTATCTCAGTTGTTCGACCACACTAGACTTTTTGGTCTCCAACTCAAAGCCTAACACGTGGCTATGAAAACCAATAAGATTTTCAATTTCCTTTGTTATTTCTAAACGATGTTTTTTAAATAATTTTTATTAAATACGCGGGTTATATTGCGGGTTAATTCGAACTTGATGGGTTGATATGCATTTTTCTAGATTGAGGGTAAATTTGCAAACAAAAACCACTTGAAGGTTAATTTGCAGAAAACCCTAAAAATAATAATACCTAATAAACTAATTTTAAACAGATTTGTTTTCAAAAAATAGATGTTTACAAATAAACATACGTTCCAAGGCAACTTTTCCCTGCTACAAAAAACAAAATCTATATATAAACTAATAAAATCCATCTAACGTTTGATATATTATTCCATAACTCACAAACATATAAAACGTGGTACTCAGGAAAGAAGAGGAGAACATGGAGTTGCAATGATTAAATCTGGTTCAAATTATTCTTGATAGTTGATATTCTTATGGAGTTTCGTTTTTAATGGAAATCAACACAGCAAAAACTCTTGTACCTCTTCGTGTAGCATTTTTAGAGTTCCTGAAACCGACACATCATTTAAAACAGGTAGTCAATCAGAACATTTAAAATAATCATAGTCAGCTCTGCTTTCGGTTTACTTGCCACATTTATAATCTGCTTTGGTTTATTTTGACTCGGTTATCTCACATTTGTTCTCCTTCCTCGACTCACATTTTTCTCCATTCTCGATTCTCATTCGCCATAAGAAATCTCGATACTTGGTTACGATTTCTCTTGGAATCTCGACAAATGCCAGCTCTTCGTTCGTTTTTCGTTCTTCTTAAGAGATTCTGAGAATCAGATCCAGTTTTCGTGGCCCCTGTTCTCGAGGTTTCGCCGGCAAAATGATGTTTTTCTTCTACGGATGAAATTCAGTTTAAATGTTTCAGATCATCGATATCTTAATAGGATGAGATTTAGCAAATCCCAATTGATTACATTGAATTAAGCAATCACAACAAAATTTAAGAACCCTAATAATGAAATCGTTTGTAGGAAATTTTCTATTTACAGTTTTTCTTATCTTTTGGGTGTTTGTGAAATATTTGTAGAGTGTAGTTTCGGGATTAAACAACATGTACATAGTTTTAGATCTTTTGTCAATCCTTATTGTAATGGTTGGAACTTAAATTTTCTTGGCCCCCAACTTATGTTGCTTGTCTTATTCATATGATTTGTTTCTTTTCAATCCATTCTCGGGATGGGGAGAACATTTGTAACTTCTTTCGATTTATTCATTTCGTTTGTTTGTTTTCTAATGAAATCATTGCTACTTTCGCATTTTAGAGAGAGAGAGAGAGAGAGAGAGAGAGAGAGAGAGAGAGAGAATTCAATAGGTACGAGGGTCGGAGCAAGTAGGGATTAGCAGATTCGGATCTGTCGAAGTTCATGCTACCTTGGAAGCTGGATTTGAAAAATGTTGACTCAGGAAACTAACTTTGAAAAAAAAAAAAAATCAAAGGAAACTAATAAATGGGCTAATCAAGTGAAGACAGGTGTAGAGTTCCTCTTGAGATAGTCTCTTCCAATCCTTCGGTTCGGCTACTTTTCCTTGCCACCTCATTTTAATTTCATTTTTTTCTTTTTCTTTTTCTTTTTTGTGTCAAAAGTATATGCAATGTGGATGCTCTTACTCTCTTTTCATCTTCTTCTACTTTGCCCTTATGTAACTTTCCCCCCTGGGTTGTTAAAAAAAAAAAAGAAAAAAGAAAGTGGCTCGTGTACAACAGCTCGAAGCTGAATTCTCTTTCGTAGAGAAGGCAATATTCTGCCAGACAAAGCATTCACCATTTTTCTCTAATAAAGGTTGGAAACAATCCTTTCAGCCCAGGCTCAATGATTAAAATACCAAAGTCTAATATTTTAAATTTAATTAATATAAACACAAGAAAACATGTAATGCCATTCTCCCATCAGCGAAGCACGGGTATTTACCTAGTCTGATTCAAAAACTACTCAAATTGATTAAAACGTATTGGCTCTTTAGGCTTCTCTATGAAAAAAGAGAAATTAAATTAACATGAAAATTAATTGATGCTTCAAGTATCACTTAAACCAAATTGGATAACGACATTTAAGAGAAATACAAGAGTGGTTACTCTGGTTTTAGTGAGTTAAGATTGTCTATGAAATATTTATTTGTTGTAAAAGCTTCAAATATTAAATACCAAATGGTTATGTTATTCTTTTATGTATTTAGGTCAAGTAAGAAATTGTTGGCTTGACTTTCGCAGGTATTGGGTTCTTTCCAATCCTAAACATCTCTTCGGTTAATTAGTCTATGGCTCCGAAGAAATTCAACCCAAGCCTTGAGTACTTAATAGGTAATAACTAAACTATTCTTTCGTGTTTTTGCAATCGCTGCAAAAGTTAAACTGGATTTGCTTTCATGTTTCATATTATTTTACAGAGATTTTAGTGGCCGTCTTGATATCCATATCATTTAATCGTGTTTAATTTTATATTTTAAAAACTCATGTTATATCAATTGAGAGTGTAAGTGTAAAAATATATGAGCGAAGATGTCAGAACTGTGACCCATAAATTATAAAAAATGGAAACAATTTCCATAATAAAGTTGTCGCGTCACATGAGTAGTGGAGAATAATAGAATTGAAAAACTTAATAAACATTGTGTCAAAGAGATTGTCATATTACTATAGTTTTTCTTAAAATAAGTTTTACAAATATAAAAAACCAAATTAATTGAGAAAAAAAGCAATAACACTACTTGCGCGCGCGTAGCGCATATTTCTACCTAGTTAAGTTTCAAAATTTAATGCTTTTCTTTTCACATATTTATCATGGAAAGTAATGATAAATCAGCAAAAAATCTTGTGCCTCAGGTGATGATAGCTCAGCATTTTTAAGTATCCTGGAGCTGACACCTCAATTAAAACCTGCAGCCAGTAAAAACATTCTAAATAATCTTAGTCAGCAACTTTTTCTATTTTTATTTGCCACATTTGCTTTGGTTTATTGTTACTCGGTTACCTCACATTTTTTCTTCTTCATCGAGCAAAATTTTCTCCTTTCTCGATTTCCATTCTCCTTAAGAAATCTCGAAATCTCGATTCTTCACTCTTCTTTATTTCTTTCGTTTGCTATTTATAACATCGAATCTCGAGGAATCCCAGCTCTTCGTTCGTTCTTCTTCAGATGCTCAGAGAATCAGATCCAGTTTTTGTGGCCACCGTTATCGACCTTCTGTCCGGCAAAGGTATGTTTTTCTTCTCCAGCTGAAATTTGATTTAAAATGTTTCAGTTCATCGATTTCTTAATAGGAGATTTACCAAATCCCAATTGATTACTTTTAATTCAGTAATCACAGAGAAATTGAAGAACCCTAATAGCGAAATTGAAGAAACCTAATTGTGAAATCGTTTCCTATTACAGTTTTTCTTATATTTTGGGTTTGTGTGAAATATTTGCATGAGTGTAGTTTCGGGTTTAAACAACATGTACATAGTTTGAGATCTTTTTATTGTCTGTTTTCTAATGAAATCGTTGCTACTTTCTCATTATCTGCAGGAGGATATTGAAGACAATGGAGGCTTCGAAGGTTCCAGGCAAGTTGTTATGTAGTTGGATTTTGTTTGTGTTCCATGCTTTGAATTTTTCTGTGTTTCGATCTCTAGGGTGTTTGCTTTTCTTTTTTGAGCTTACTGTTTGATGAATCTTTATGCAGTGATGGCTTGCCAAGATGTTGCGAATCTTGTTAAGACCTCACTTGGTCCCGTCGGATTCGACAAGGTTTATACTCTGATTCAACTGCTCTGTGACTATTTTGAGGTTGATTGGTTTCTGATTTGCTTCGGACTTGGTTATATTCTGCTAGACTTTTGTTTTTATTTCAGCATTTGCGTTCTTTTAGGTTCACATGTGAAAATAAACTATTTTGTGGTTTTCTTAGACCTGACCATATTCGTAGTTTTATTCTAAATTTGCGGTGTTGTGTTGGCTTGTTTTAAGATGAATGCAGAATTTCTCTAACCCAGCGTTGAGAAGATGGTAGAGAATGATTCTATTTTAGCTGCATTTCCCGCTACAGAGAGTCGCATCACTTGTGGTATCGCCTTCCAAGAGGTTCAAGAGCTATCACTTCTGACTCTGCAGCTGCCCTTTTTGCAGACACAAAAGTTATAGATAGGTGTTTTAAGTTGATAACCTGTTGTTCACCATTTCTTGGTTGAGAAAATTTCAGGAACTCGATATTGGAAACGTGCTCCTGCGTTTAGCTCATCTTTATGAGGTATGAATAGTTTAAGTATTCACTACTTTATGTGGGTTTGGTAGTAGAATGAAGCATTTGAAGTTGTGGAATTAGGTGGGAGAGGACAAGGAACTTTCAGAATTGGCAAGCGTGCAACTGAAGAAACTCTTCCCTAGAAAAAAGGTAGAAGGTGGGAGATAATAAATAAAAAAAATGTGTGTTGTATATAGCGAAAGTGATTGAGATGAGTCTATCAAGAAAGAAGCACGATGGAGAAGAAGAGGTTGGTGTGGAAAGTAGAAGGTGAAGGATCTAATGGAGAAGAGAAGAAGGCGAAGAGAGGGAGAGGAATCGATCCAAGAAAGCTGGAGATGGAGCTTTACCCGATGGAGATTAGGACAGTCTTGATCCGCTTGGAGAACAACCGAAAAACTAATCAAATATGTTTAAGATTTGCAAGCTGAAAAATAACAGGAGAAAAGAACTCGCTAACGGTCCTGGGATTTTTGGTTAAACATGAACAAAATTGTTTCTTATAAAGAATTAGTCTAAGCTAATGTAATTAAAATATACCGCCGCGAAGTGCGGGTACCAACCTAGTAGGTGATAAAAGAAAGTAATGCATGATATTAGGTTATATTAGAAAGTATAGAACTTATTACAAAACTTATTACAAAGATACAGTATTACAGTATACGTTTTCTTGTATGTAAAGGAAACCACGTTAATGGACCATGTTTTTATTCAAAATTTGTATATATATATATATATATATATATATATTTTTTTTTTTGTATATTGCTTTACCATAATTATGGCATTCTCAAATAATATATTGGTTTTTTTTTTTGATAAACCATATTGCTTGGTTTAAGAAATTCAACGATTCAATGGATACAAGTCATAAGTCATAAGATTCAAATTTTGGTTATACATGTCAAGTGCCTTACGACCAATGGCAGAAAATAATCAAACCACCTACAACCAATTGGGCATAAGCCCAAAGATGATCAAACTTAAGTCTTGGAATTTCACCCTTCATCAAACCTTCCCCTACCACTAAATCACAGAAGCTCGGGCGCAACCGTATATTCATATATTGCCTCACTAAAATTGGTTAACCATGTTTTTTTTAAACAAAACCTATTAGAAAGATAATCCATTCCTCATGATTTCTCTTCTAAATAACTAAAACCATACCAAATACTAGTGTAATATATTATATTATAATATATATATATAAAAGTGTATTCTAAATCCTAAAAATTTGTGAAATAACCATATATTGAAATAATCAAGTAATCTTTATATTATTAATTGAGAAGTACATTCTACTGTTTGGATAAAAGAATAAGAGAAAAATCTATTTAAATAGAAGAATAAATGAAAAAAAAATTGTTTGGATACAAAAATAATAACTTAAAACAAACTGATGGTTTAGAAAACTTTCGTTTTTCAGCTCTTAAAAAATCTGCAGAAAATAAAAATTAACATAATCTACCGATAATACCAAATCAATAGAATATGATCGAATGATATTTGCAAAATTTCCAATAGTGAAATAGAAATACGTCTAACTTAAATCAAATTGTGGATTTCTGTTCAGATTTTTTTTGAAAATTTATGTTCGGTTTGGGTTCGAGTTTTTTTTGGTTTAGTTCAGGGTTTTCCGGATTTTTTGGATTTCAGATTTTCGGGTAGACATATTAATTTTTTTTGGGTATTTTATTTATTTTATTAGGGTTTTTAGGTCGGGTTCGGGTTTCGGGTGAAATTTTTTTGAGTTTCTTTTATTCGGTTCAGGGTTTTCGAGATTTTTTGGATTTTAGTTTTCGGATTTAGACATATTAAAAAGGTTTGGGCTTAAAAAAAATTTGATTAGGGTTTTTAGGTTGGCTCAGGTTTAGAATTTAAATTTTCTTCACAAAACCGTAACGTCATACTGCGCGTTTGCGCGGGTCCTATACTAGTACACTAGTAAGTATATTGAAAACGTCACAATGTATAAAAAATATGAACTATTAAAAGAATGATTCCATTTTTAAAGCACAGCTAATAAGTTTGGTTAGTTATTTCATATTTACTAGAATAATACCCATGCTAGTGCACAGGCTTCACAAAATCATAACGTCACACCGTGCGTTTGCGCGGGTCCTATATTAGTACACTAATAATCGATGAGTCTAAGTATATTGAAAAACGTCACATTGTATAAAAAATATGAACTATTAAAAGAATGATTCGATTTTTAAAGCACAGGTAATAAGTTTGGTTAGTTATTTCATATTTGTTAGAATAATACCCATGCTAGTGCACATGCTTCAATATTAATCACTAGTTATTTTAATAAACATTTTAATATATTTATAAGCATATATATATATATATATATATGTTTGAATATATTTATAAATTGAGTTGATAATTGGTGTAAATGGATCTTTAAAAATGTACTAGACTAATGCCCGTGCATAGGCGCAAGTTTTTATATATATTATAGTTCTTTTAAAATATAGAAAAACAACTATAGATTTGTGATTCATATAATAAACTCTTACCCAAATAAGATCCACATTTTAATTCCACCTTGTATGACTAATAACTGTTTTCAAATGTATATTTTTTTCATTATACCAGAGGTCTCCATGTCATCACTTCTCTTTGTTTATTCACCGTCACATAGAACATACCTTGTTTTCCTGTCATCGCTCTTTGTTGGATCTGTTTCTCAGTATATTAGAAGAGTTTAAATGTTTAATACTCCATATGTTTCATAATATAGGGGTTTTAAGATCTTTGCACACAAATTAAGAAGTCATTCAATTTTTATACTTTTTGAAATAAAATATATTTTATCATCAACTCCAAAATATTTCAACCAATGAAAAAAGAATCTGCAGAATATAAATAATCAAAAGTAATAAAAACATATTTAATTTTGTATAGAAACTCTCAAACCCCTTATATTTTGAGACAAGAAAAAAAACTCTAAACCCCTTATATTTTGAAACAGAGGGAGTAGTAATTATGGAAGAAGAAGCATGATAATTTTAAAGTAATAAAATAGTTTTAATTACAATAAATTGATATGCATAGCTAATAAACAAGATTTAAAGTTGTTAATTGAAAGTAAAATGAAAAGTCATGACATGTGTCAATCACATAAGTGTCCACGTGTCACATAGATGGAGAGGGTTGACCTCTTTTCATATATATATATAATTAGATTGCGTAAATTTTGTATATATATTTGGTTTTATATAATGAAGTGTTATAATATAGTTTTATAATTTTTGAATGAGTTCACATATAGGTATAACATTTATGAACATAATAGTTCTATAAATTATTTAAAGTAAAATGAAATCAATATAATTTTAGGTAAAAAGGCAGTCGAAATTTTTAATGATTATATGAAATTCGAGATTCACTTGTGTATATTTAAATTTGTGATTGTTTTTGGTAGAAATGTGTTTCACCCGTGAACTAATTTAAAATGATGGGTTTATAATTTTAGTTTAAAATCTAATTGTATTGATAAATTATAAATGAAATTCTTCATTTTATCATGCAAATTTGTGATTGTTTTTTGAAGGTGAAATAATTCTAAATAAATGTTTTTATTTCTTAATTCAATAACAAACAAATCATATGTTCCACACTTTTTCCATTTCATTATTCTTTTACATTGATAGTGGTCACCCATTATACACTCTCTTGTAAATATGCTCTCCTGTTTTAATCTATAAATTTGAAATTTCATAAAAAAAAAAAATCATCATATATTTTTAATTTATTGATAAAATATATTTTGAAAGATAAATCTAGATGCTCGTAGATTTTAAAAATGAAAATGAAAAGCATATTTATATATATATAAAAGGATTGTTTGTAACCAATTAAAAATAATAATATAATGGTATTGTATGTAAATAATAAAATAATAATTGATGTCTTATTTAATGGTTGGTTGAGAATCAATGTGGTGATGATATAAAGTCATGACATTCTTGTTATTAACACGTGATAAAAATGTTATTTTAAAAGTGTTTTCTTTTTTAATACTCTCTTTGTTTCATTATATAGGGATTTAAATTTTTGCACATAGATTAAGAAGCCATTTATTTTTTGTACTTTTTGAAATAATATATATTTTATCATTAATTCCAAAACATTTCAACCAATAAAAAAAATCTGCATAATATAGATAATCAAAAGTAACAAAAATACATTTAATTTTGCATAGAAACTCTAAAACCCCTTATATTTTAAAACAGAAAAAACTCTAAAACCCCTTATATTTTGAAACAAAGGGAGTATATACTAAGAAATTATTATTTTATTTTATTTTTGAATTATCAGAAGGTTGTAAGCCAAAACCTTTTATTCTGTCAGGCTCAAAACCATAACATGTAATATTGGTTATATACTTCTTTTCCTAGTGCATTCGATCATGTAACCTGATCATGTAACTTGTAAGAACCTCTAAGCTTGCAGTTGAGTCAAAGCCAATCATTCTTTGGAAATTATTAAATCCAACACGTAAGCTATTTCAATCAGTACTAGAGAGAACAAGTACCACTAGCTAGAAGGAGAATCATAAGCATAATTTGTACTTTTATGTAGTGTTGGCAACCTTTTCAGTTGACGGATAATCTTTGAAGTAATTCTTTAGCACTTTTTTTCTGGATTTAGTAAATTTTTCACTTTGGTTGCATTCTTTTTTTTTTTTTTGTCGTCTAAGATTATATTGAAATGAGGAAGAGAGCCGGTGTTACACACCTAACAAGAGAAACTAAACAAAGGCCACCACAACACCTACCTAACCCCAAAAAGAACTTTCAGTCCACAACAATCAGGACCTCTCTACACCATCTCCAACAAGTAAGATGAATAGAGGAAAAAAGAATAAAGAAACCAACACCACAAACCACCAAAAACCCACCTCAGACAGTTGCATTCTATTTATCCATAATTAATACAGAGAATTGTTTATGTTTGTGTTTGGGTGAAAGAATACTCCATCCGTTTCAAATTAGTTGTCATTTTGGAAAAATGTATCTTCAATTATTTGGATGTATGTGCAATGCAAAACACGTCCAAATACATCCAAATATTTGTGGATACATTTTGTCAAAATGACAACTAATTTGAAACGGAAGGAATACATTATATAGTGATGTTTTGTAAAAGCAGAAAACACTATATACTTCTTTTTTAAATTACCATAAAATTTTGGACTAAATGATATACATTTCTTCGGATCCGGAACCACAACATGTAATATTGGTTCTATCCCAAACGATATTTGATCGCGTGATCTCTAAACTTTGCCTAGAGTCTTTTTCCAGAGGCAAAACTGTTAGAGAAGAAATTAGCACCTTTCCCTGAGCCCGTCACCACTAGTAAAATCACAAAGCTCAATCCAACTTTAGGCCTAATATTCTCGACAAAATGGCAAGACTTGAGGAGGAAAGCATAATCCATGGGGATATGTGAACAAACTCTCATACCCAGGAATGGAAGGAAATCAAAAATAAGAGGAAGTTTTCCATATCGCAAAAGAGGAAGTTTTCCGTCTCGCCGATAGAGAATATTCACCAAGGAGCCGACCTATCAACACTATATATTGAAGACCCCCCATTCGTGAAAAGGCATCCAAGATCATCTAGAATTACCCACAAGAAATCTAGGCTTAGCATCCTCTTTACTTTCCTCTGTGTTTTCCTCTTGTTCATCATAGTTCATCTCGTCAAACTTGTTGGCGAGATAACATATTTTGTAATCTTCCTGATATTCTTCGAGTTAAATCAAGCCTCTAGTTTCCTAAACTCACATCTTTGGTAACCCATCTTAACGAGTGCTATCTCAGATCTAACAATTGGCGCCCACCGTGGGGCTGGAAACGCTTCTCGCTATTCATCTCAAGGGTATCTAGATTTTTACAAAGACGCAACGATGGTGAACTCGAAAGAGAACACCCCTGCCGTGAGCCCATCCCGATCAGAAGGAAACCTAAGTGACGATCTACCGCCACCAACGATAGACAAGTCACTACCCGCTGAAGGCAGGGACAATTCTGTCACTCCAAGGAATCGATTTACCTCGCCGCGAAGATCCACTTCGCCTCGACGATCTCCATCGCCGAGAAAGGACGAGAGCTCTCCTCCGCCCGCGCCACGACGCTCGAAGAAATCTTCCTCGAGCGACAAGCCTCGCAATTCGAAGAGATCCTCTTCGAACGACAAGCTCCGCAAGCTCATGGAGAATCTAGTCAAGCCGCTAGCCGAAGGATTCGAGGCAATGCGAGCACAACATGAAAGAGTCCGACTCAAAATCAACTCCTACACCGGGGAAGAAGATCCCAAGAAGTGGTTGAACGCGTTCAATCTCGCCATGACAAGGGAGAAATACAAACCCTATGACGAGAAGGAGGCCAATTACTGTCAGGTATTCGTCGAGCACATGGCGAAAGATGCATATGACCCGAGTCACGCGGAATATGTTCACCACGACGCAAGCCCAAGGTAAACCCCTACGCAGTTTCATGGATAGGTTCAAGAAAGCAGCTCGCGACACCGGCGACTGGAAGCACTCCGTAACGGCCTCTGGTACGACTCCAAGTTCAAAGAGGACTTGTCACTAAAGCCTCCCACAACCTTGGAAGACGCGTTCCACCGTTCCCGGAGCTACATCTTCCTCGAGGAAGATAAGCGCTTCTACGCCGAAAAGCACGGAGATAGGAGGACAGCCCCGTCCAAACCTAGAGAAGAAGCCGTGTAGGTACGAAGAAGACACAACCCCAAGAGATCGCTCCTCACAGCGTTCGTAGCAGCCGACGACGAGTCCGAGCAAGAATCACAATATGCCGCAGCAATCTCGACTCCGCAAGATGCCGCTCCACTCGGAGACGACAACAACACCAAAGTATTCTGCAAGTTCCACGGAAGAATTGGTCACTCCACTGAAAACTGCAAACACCTCATCAACAACCTCATCCGCATGAATAATCAAGGAGAAATCCCGCCGATGGACGGCGACAGGTCCCAAGGAAAAGGCTTCCCACCGAGACCACCCAAGTCGGGACATCAAGAGAAGAGAGGGCGATAATTTCGTCCGAGGAAGGACGCCGGGAAACCCGATACACCCTCTGATAAAACAGACTGCGACGACTTACCATCACCGCCGAAACGACAGGTAAACATGATCATGGGAGGCCTCCTAGACGGGAGACCGCGACAACTTACCATATCAGCTATCAAGGAGTACGAGCGAAAAGCCGTCGCGGCACATCACCATCCCTATATCCATAAAAGAATCCCTACCATCTCCTTTACGGATAAGGATGCCGGCGGACTGGATACCCCTCATCTCGACCCACTGGTGGTCACTGATGTTAAGTCAGGTTTTACCAAACTTTTAGACCTCTGCAAGTGCACAGATCGCGGAAGTATGGGTATCGAACACAAGGACTGGCTATTGAGTACACTTTGAAACTATGGATTTTGGATCAAGCTAAAACAAAAGTATGATTGGAGGTTGTAATGTGAACAGAACTAGCAAGTAAATAAACGAGGTTGTAAATCAATAAGGAAGAAGCGCTAGGTCAACAGGGGCTAATCGCAGAGAAGCAAGCAATGATCAATGAAACAATGATAGATGAATTGATTAGGGATATTGGGATATTAAGAACCGTCTAGAACACAGATCACGAATATAAAACCATTCCACTTTCGAGGCTCCGGCTCCTTTGTTAATCTACCTAGTCGCTAAACTTTTGGTATGTCCCTAGGTGATTAAATCAAGCTTTAGAATGAATAGGTTCTGATACAGTTCACTAGTTATAGTAAGATCAACTTTCGCAGTCTAAGAAACCTAGCTTGCCAAAGAATATGTCCGGCGAATGATACAACACTTTCGAGGCTCAAATCAACCTAAGATCGGATTACTAGATGCGCGGTAAAGCAATCAGCATTAGTTAAGTGCACAAGACGAGACAAAGACTCTATGATAATCCCTAGCTAAACATCGAAATCAAAGATCATGCAAGCAACTCATTGATTAGTAACCCTAGCAACCTAACTAGTGGATTACTCAGACATGATCAAAGCAATAACACATAAAGATGAAGAAAACATGATTGCAATAAACTCAAAGTATGAAAATCGTGATACAAGGGCGGCTCTCTCTCTCAAGAGGCTAAAAAGTTGTATTTATAATGCTAGGTCTTCAGAGGCGGCATTAGGTCAAGCCGGGCTGTGAAAACGTGTGAAACGGGCTTCAAAACGGGCTTCGGGTCGATCGGACCGTTCGGACGGTCGGTCGGGACGGTCGGCCGTCATCGGATCGTAGTCGGCCATCGGTACGGTCGGAACGAGGCCGATAGTTTTCGTGTTCGGCCGACGGGGTCGGACGGATGGATGGTTTTGGCCGATGAAACTTGGCCGGTCACGGGACGATGCCTTCCTGTTCGCGCGGATGGGTCGGCCGCGGTACATGGGTCGTGCCGCGCGGCCGCGAAGCTTTGCCTTCTGTTCGCGCGGCGCGGTCGTGCACGGCTTGTGGTGGCGAGCTAAGGAACGGCTCGACCGTGGGATGTTGTTTCCGGGTCGGGACGTGAGTTCGGCCGTGGACTTGGCGGGATGCGGATGCGTGCGCGGGCGATCGCGGTACGTTCGTTCCACGATCGGCCGGTGTGCGCGGCCTAGGATGCAAATGCTCGATAAAGCCGTCTGGACAGTCTTCACTATTTTGATCATATCTTCACTTCTACTCATCCAAATGATGCCAATCCAATTGCGTTGGAGAGTTAACTCACTCAGAGCACGCGGGGAACTGGTCTTGATGAAATCCATTGAGTAGATCTTTTTCTGGGCCCTTTAAAGTTGATGCTTGGGTATGGAGCTGCTTGAAGCGCCAATTCTATGGTTTTGCTCCAAAATGCATCATTTCACCTGTTTAGACTCTAGACACTATAAATCCAATAAAACTACCTTTTTAGATAGAAAACCTGCCAAAAACCATTAGAAAACAATACTAAACAGTATAAAAAGCATGTAAAATAGAGGTAAATAAGTCACTTTGCAAATTCACGACTGTGATGTAGCAAAGATTCTGGTCGACACCGGGAGCACGGTGAACCGCATCTTCAAAATCCATCAAACCTACGTCCCGTCCTCTCACCGGCTTCACCGCCGAGCACGTCTACAGCTGCGGCACAGTCCAACTTCCCGTCTATGTTGGCGGAATCTCGAAGCTTATAAAGTTCATAGTAATTGATAAGCCGGCTATCTACAATGCGATCCTCGGCACGTCTTGGCTCCACGAGATGAAAGCCGTCCCCTCCACTTTCCACCAATGCGTAAAGTTCCTAACGCCTTCCAGAATTTTCACCTTGCGTGGGAATCAGAGAATGACGAGATCATGCTTCCTCCAGGAACGCAAGATACGCACCGCATCCTCCTTCATGATAATCGAGCTCCCAAACCAGTCCTCACATCCAAGTGAAGAACCGGAGCCGATACCCGGTAACGAGATCACCAGGCCCAACGCGGCAAGACATGCCTCCAACGCGCGAGAAGAAGATCCGCCAATTTCCCCACGCAAAACCAATACCGAGTCCGCCTGGAAATCTGATTTGAGGCTCAACATGAGCATTAAAAAACCCAAGAAGCTCCTCGACCTGTTCGAGATGGAACAACTTGAGAACGAGCCGCTACGAAGTTACCTCGATAGATTCAAGAACACGCTGCCCGACCTCGATGAGATCCCCGGAGCATCCCAGAACTCGGAGGCAGTACTCGTCCAATCCCTCGGGAACGGACTCCGGTACCGATCCAGATTTCAAGAAGACTTCTACCTCCACCCCTTCTCGACCTTAAAGGACGCCTTCCTCCGCGCCGAACAATATGTTCGCCTCGAGCAGGACATCCCGCAGCGAAGATTTGAATCAAAAGACCTCAGACTCCAGCTCGGAAACAAAAGAAGGTCATCTTCCCGTCACCTAGATGGATCTACCCCCAAAGCACCAGGATGCCACCGCAAATCCTCATCTCGCCGAGACGACATGTACATCAGCGAAGACGACACCGAAAGAAACATGAAAGATCATGCACTGGCCAATCGCCATACCTCTCCGCAGTGTGCATTCTCAGATCAAGAGATATTCAAAATCATTGCTGACATCCAAAAGATTCCCTTGACGAACCGCCTCTCCGAAGTACCACAGAAGAAGCGCGTCTCGCTGCATCTAAGCTTCTACGACGGCCGAGACGATCCCAAGCAATGGATCTCATCCTTCATGATAGCCATAAAAAGACAGAGATACGCGTCACCGGAGGAGCAAAGTGCACACTTTTGCCAAGCTCCGGGCCAACTCCATCGACAGCTTCGACGATCTGGCAGTCGCTTTTCTAAAGCAACACCTCCGCTTCGCACTCGACGACCTCGTCTTTCGCAAATCCGACGAAGATAGGATCGACCATCTCGGCAAATTCGGCTTCAGCTGGGAAGGACCATACCGCATCGAACGAATCATCAAGCCAAGAGTCTATCAGCTTGAAGACAACCTCGGCAGCACGTCCGAACGCCTCTGGAGCTCAACTGACTTGCGCAAGTTTCATGACTAGACGCGAGGCACTGCACTAGTCAAAAAAAAAAAAAAGACATGTCCTCGACTTGATCCCGGCACGGGTACGTAGGCAGCCTTTTTCATTAAGGGCGCAGCTATAATACTCGATAAAATAAAAAAGCTTTTATTTTAATTGAAATCTTTTCCATCTCGACAAGCGCGCTTCATCTCGGCATAAGCAGAAACTTGTCGATATAAAGCGCGCACCCGTTTTATGTCAAACCAAAACTCGAGGCAAACTCAATGAGCACTCGCACTTTTCACCCTAAAACATGGAGTGATCACCCATTCATCAAGCCGAGAGCACGCACCTCGCACGACTCTCAGTTCGTCGGACGAGCGAAAAACCGCTGCCTCGTCACCCGTACGAAGCTTTGAAGTCGGAAGCATAAATCGAGTTTCTAGAGCTCGTCGCTGAAATTAGGCCTAACACGCCAAGCATACAGACCTAATACGCATTGGTCGATGTCTCGAATGAGAAGTCATGACAAACCGCGAAAGTTCATCTCGTCAAGCTTGTTGGCGAGATAACTTCTTTTGTAATCTTCCTGATATTCTTCGAGTTAAATAAAGCCTCCAGTTTCCTAAACTCACATCTTTGGTAACCCATCTTAACAAGTGCTGTCTCAGATCTAACAAAAACCACTTGGTCGTCAGTATATACACAAACTAATTTACACGTCTCTAAGCTATTTATTGTGATGGACTGATGGGTCATAATTATATAATACTAGGAGAGCATTCGCGTAATGCGCGGGTTGCGCGGGTTTATATTTCTAAAAGTTTATTGTTATTGTTGATATTATTTTGTTTTGTTTAAATATCACTTTGTAATGTTACGGTTAACTTTCTGCAGACAGATCCGTGATCAGAGCTGGTCTCGTCCTTCGTTAGGGAAGCTGCAGTTTTGAAAAGAAGCGTTTAGAACTAATCAGAATAAGGGTTATGGTACGTTATGGAAGGAGAAGAATAATATAGAGTGTGACCTTTTATAGAACTATAAGGAATAAGATCTGCCGCCATGTGGGAGCACCTTCCGATCATGATCTGTGGAGACAGAATAGAATTATGGTCATCGAGATTCACCAATTTGGGATTCGGAAAAGTAAGATGATTGAATGATTAAAAAATAATACAAACCTATCATGGATACTGGATACACGTCCGGTTACACTCTTCTCGCCGTGTTTCTGGCGTCATCGACGTTGAAGAGATTAAAAAATGGGATTAAATAGTGCAGATGGTGGAAAGTACTGAAATCGGAGAAGAAAACTGAAAGACAACAAGAGTAATAGAAAAGTGAGACCGTAGGCGAGGAGACGGGTAACGCATGAGAGGGTGATGGTTCGTAAAAAACGATTGGGTTGAGAAATTGTTTTTTTCTATAAAAAAAAAACACAGAAACGACGTCGTTTTGGAGCCAGCAACGAGAATTTTTTTCTTCTGAAAAAGCTGATGTGGCACTCTCTTGGGGTGCTGATGTGTTGAAGGCTGGAGAGTGTCACAAGCCTTTTCAGTTATGTGGCTGAGAAATTGTTTTTTCTGTAAGAGATTTGTAAAAAAAGAAATCTGAAACGACGTCGTTTTGGAGCCAACGACGAAAAAGAAAGTTCTGAAAAAAACTGATGTGGCCTTCTTTTGGAATGCTGATGTGTCGAATGCTGGAGAGTGTCAGAAGCCTTTTTCAATTATGTAGATTTGTGTGGAGAATCCTTCGTTAAGTAACAGAAAAGAGAACAATAGAGTTTATAGAGTTTATGATGTTCATTTTTTTCGGATAATCAAAAAAGAGAATCATAGAGTTTAGTTGGCATTGTAACGCAAAAACAAGAAACATGAATTTGCGCTCGTAGAAAAACAGTACCGACTTAATTGACATTTGACAGTCGTATTATTATTTTCATCTAAAAAATCCTTTTGTTGGTAATTTTTAGTTGACCTCTTCTACGGTTTAGACTTAATATACTATTTATAGGATTCAAAAGCCGTGTAAACTACACGTATATCTATTAACAGCATATAACCATCTCTTTTGCAATTTCAAAAGAGAGAATCCAGAGATTAATTGCTTTAGTCGTGTTTCCCCATTTTCCACAAGGATTCTTGAAAAATCTTGAATCATTATGGAAATGGGGAACGCGACGGATATGGGAGGTGGGATGCCAGAAATTATGCCAGGAACTAATGTCATGGCAGGTGACATGATGCCGCCACCCCAAGCTGATGTACAATGGATATTTGATCTCGCTTGGTTAGGTGAAGGTATAAAAGCTGATGGGTCTATATGCGAGGAGCATCCTCCAAAGTTATCTTCAGAGGGTGTTTGGGAGAAATTTCTTTTAAACGAAAGATCTACTCTACTTCTTAGCCCTTGGCAGTATCGTCTTCCAAATCTGGAGTGCGTCATCGTGATCGTCTTTTTCCTTTGGCAACTCTTGGATATATTGTTCAAGAAATTTGGTATTTCTGTTCCCAAGTTCACATCTATGATGCTTGTGAGTTTCTTCTTCCTCTTCTTGCAAAAATATTATATAGTTTTTTTTTTCCCATCTGCAAAATCTTGACAAGAACTTTTGCTTGCGTTAAAAGGCAGGGCTGCTCCTAAACGTGATAATTACTATTTCCGGCGACAAATCGATTATGAAACAGATCTTACTCCCTTCAAACAGAATCGACGTTCCTGGATGTCTTGGATCTTTTGGCTTTATGATTTTCTGGTTCCTCAAGGGTGTGAAAATGGACGTCAAGAGAATCTTCAAGGCTGAAGCAAAGGCAAGAATCACCGGAGTTGCGGCTGTTACATTTCCTATACTTGTTGGCTCAATGCTTTACAAGTTTAAATCTGCAAAGAACCGACCTCTCTCAGCCAATAGTTATGACCTATTGCTTCTCATGGAGAGCCTCACGTCTTTCTCCGGGATTGCAAGGCTCTTGCGCGATCTCGGGATGAACCACTCGTCTATAGGCCGGATCGCTTTATCCGCAGCCTTAGTCTCTGACATGGTCGGACTCTTGTTCTTGTTGGGAAACGTTCCATTAACTGCGGAAAAGTTGATTTTCGGGTTGGGTACACTAGTAGAAATGAGTTTTTTCATCGTCATTGTGTTCACGGTTGTGAGGCCGTTAATGTTCAAATTAATCAGAAGAAAACGAGAAGGCAGACCCATCGAAGACATATACATCTATGGCATTCTCGTCTTGCTTTGTTTAGCGTGCATGTATTGGAACAACATCCAACAGTTTCCCGCACTTGGAGCTTTCTTTCTAGGTCTCGCGATACCTAATGGACCTCCTATTGGATCTGCATTGGTCGAACGGCTAGAGAGTTTCAACTTCGGTATCATATTGCCTCTCTTTTTAACAACTAGTATGCTCAGGACCGATTTGTCAGTTTGGAAAGGCTCTTTAACATTCTTCAGCAGCAATGACCAGCAATTCGCCGTGGCCTCTCTCGTCTTGCTCATCTTCTTGTTAAAGATCTCTGTCTCAATGATCGTACCTTACCTCTATAAAATGCCATTGAGAGACTCTGTTGTTCTTGCCCTTATTATGTCACATAAGGGTATTGTCGAACTCAGTTTCTACATGTTCTCTTTCGGCTTACAGGTTAGTATCTAATCTTTCCGATTTTTTTTTTTTTTTTGTTGGGTCATTATTTTGTTTTCTTGCAAGATTAAGCTAGTGGGCCTAGGGTTTTTTTGTGCCATTTTGTTTACAAATTATGAAAGCAACTACAAAGCTTGTGGTGCTACGTAATTTGGAACAAAAACTAATTAAAAAAATGTGTTGTTTTGGAGAATTGCCTTAAAATAAATTTGAAATATATATATATATATATATATATATATATATATCTTTTTTTTTTTTTTTTTCTGATTGGTTTTTGATACAGCTTTTGACAAGAGAGACCTTCTCAGTCCTAGTCATGTCCATTGTTCTCAACTCGTTGCTCATACCAATGGCCATCGGATTTCTCTACGACCCATCGAAGCAATTTTTGTGTTACCAAAAGAGAAACTTATCGAGTATGAAGAACACTGGAGAGCTAAAGACTCTTGTGTGCATCCATAGACCAGACCACATATCTTCCATGATTAATCTTCTTGAAGCTTCTTATCAATCTGAGGAGTGCCCTCTCACTTGCTACGTGCTTCACCTCGTCGAGTTACAAGGCCAAGACGTTCCCACTTTGATCTCACACAAAGTTCAGAAACTTGGGATTGGAACCGGGAGTAAATTATCCGAAAACGTCATCCTCTCTTTCGAACATTTTAACCGTTACGTATGCAGTTCCATCTCTATAGATACGTTCACTTGCATTGCAAATAAGAACCACATGCAGGATGATATTTGTTGGCTAGCTCTCGATAAAGCTGTCACGTTAATCATTCTTCCTTTCCACCGGACTTGGTCTCTTGACCGAACATCCATCATCGCCGACAGTGAGATGACTCGGTTTCTTAACTTCAACGTCTTGAAACAAGCTCCTTGTTCTGTCGGTATCCTTGTCGAACGCCATCTCGTTAACAAAAAGCAAGAAACTCAGCAAAACACTAAGGTAATATTTAGGGTATTTACACTTACTTTTTTCTTTATATATTAAATCAATTCTTGAGAACTTCACTAAGTTCTTGGAGATGTTTGATGTTCAGGTGTGTGTGATATTCGTGGGAGGAAAAGATGATAGAGAAGCATTAGCTTTCGCCAAGCGAATGGCTCGTCAAGAGAACGTGACACTAACAGTTTTACGACTCCTAGCAACCGGAAAGAGTAAAGAAGCGACGGGATGGGATCAAATGCTTGACACAGTGGAGCTAAGAGAGTTGATGAGAAGCAATGATTCAGGAATGCTAAAAGAAGAGAGTTCAACGATTTACTTGGAACAGGAGATTTTAGATGGAGCGGATACGTCGATGCTTCTACGTTCCATGGCTTTCGATTTCGATCTTTTCATTGTGGGAAGAACATGTGGTGAAAACCATGAGGCGACGAGAGGGATAGAGAACTGGTGTGAGTTTGAGGAGCTTGGAGTTATTGGTGATTTCTTGGCTTCACCAGATTTCCCGAGCAAAACGTCTGTGTTAGTAGTGCAACAACAACGAACGGTAGCCAATAATTAGATGCGGAGAAGAAGCACAGTACAACAATCTTTCTTTTGTAACATCTACAATAAAGCTTGGAATGAAGAAAAAAAGTAAGAGCACATATCATTTGGTTTGTTCCTTGTTACTTGTGAATTCTTGTATATTGTAGATCATAAAAGAAAGTGAAGAAGAAAATAAAAATTCTCCGAAAATCCTTAGGGATTATTCAAAGTTTGTTTTCTAGGGGCAACCATCATCTTCTTTTCATCCTAGAATTCAGATTACTATCGTATAATTAACCCCATGTCAGTGGTGAAAACTAATTTTACCTAGATATCTCATTAATCAACTCTCGAAGCCACTAATAAAAGTAGATAAACAATTATATATAGATCAAGTTTTATATATTCACTAAAACTGTATATGAATCACCTCTGGTAATGTAACATCCATAAACCAAATAATTGATAATTGATTTTGGTTCAATTTAAGTGAATTGGTTTGGGTCGGTTTAGTGGAGAAAGCCCTAAAATCAAGTTTAAAGAGTGCAGCCGTCTTTCTCAGTTTTCGAGGCAGAGAAGGAGAAAGGCGATTTTGAGAGTTTGGAAAATCGATTTTACTGTTCATCGGGTACTGTTCACGGTTACTGTTCATCGGTACTGTTCACGGGTACTGTTCATCGGTACTGTTCATCCGCGATTCGGCACTGTTCATCGTCTTCCTTTTTCCTTCAGTTTCAATCATTGTCAAGGTGAGTGCATGACTGTGGGTCCGTGATTTGCTAGATTAGATTTGGTTTGTGGTTGTTCTTGATGAGTTTATGTGTTTAATTGTTATTTCATGATATTTTGGTTGTTTCTGTGATGAATTGTGTGTTTGTGTGGTTTAATCTGGTTTAATTGAATTAATTGATTTAATTGGTTTATCTTGGTTTAATTGATTTGATTCTGGTTATTTGGTTAATTGAATTTAATTGGTTTTAATTAAATTTTTATTTATTTTCGGATTTAATTAATTAATGGTTAATTTAATTAATTAATTGATTTAAAATAATTATTTTAATTATTTTAAAATATGGAAAATTATTATTTAATTATGAGAATTATTTAATAATTGAGAAATTGAGTTTTAATTATTAAAATTATTTAATAATTGGAAAATGGTATTTAATAATTATTGGAGTTTATAAATATTATTAAATATCTAGTAAATTGCGTAAATGGCTCGTAGGCAGAGTGATTGCCTCACTAAGTATTTATTAAATACTTACGCAACTCCATTCCAATGTGTTGCAGGTAAAAGATTTGTGTGATCGCGGAATCAAGGCTGAAGAGGGGGATGATAGGATGTTTACTGTTTTATTGTTTTGCATTATTTTGCTAGACTTGTTTAATTATTATTTGCTTCCGCTGAGCTGATTTATTTGTTATTGATATTTTATTTATTTAATTTATTTTAAGACCTTCGCTAGAATTGATTAATATTTAAAAAAAAAAAAATGTTGGTTGTTTCATTTTGGTATCAGAGCCTAGACGGTTTTAGGACTGTTAGAATTGCTAGGCTTTAGTATCATCCCCTTCAGCTACAAGAGATTCCGCGGTGAGTTTATGTTTGTTTTGAGTTTTGGTTGCGTGTTCTAGTGTGCTCTTTTTGGTTCCATGAGTGAGATGGACTGAGTAGCTAGAGGTTGTGGCGCGAGAGGGCGCGGTGCTCGAGGCCGTGGTGGCAGAGCGAGAGGCCGGGGCCGAGATTGTGGACTTCGGCGGATTCGGGAGAGAGTGTGGTGCCTAGTGTGGCGATGCGTCGGTGACCCAGTCGGTATCCGTGGCGAGTGAGGCCAGTGTGGATGCGAGTGTTGGTTTGGGAGCGGGGGCTGCTCCGGGTTGGGGTGGTGCTCCGGCTCAGGGTCTTGATGACTTAGTGGTGGGTTTGCTGACGCAGTTATTGGCTCGTTTTCCGCCAGTGGTTCCACAGGGGGCTCCGGGAGTACCTCCAGTGGCAGAGGTGCAGCAGAGGGCTGCGGGTTTGTTCAGCCGCAGGCTGTGGGTTTGATGGTGCCGCCTATTTGGATATGATGGGGCACATGCAGAGGATTGGTACGCCGTACTTTGAGGGCGGAGTTAGCCCAGAGGCGGCAGATTAGTGGCGTCAGAGATTGGAGCGGAATTTCCAGTCTATCAGATTTTGTTTAGTACCAGGTTGAGTTGGCAGTCCACTATCTGAGTGGAGATGCACATTTGTGGTGGCGGGCATCGAGGGCATAATGGTTGTTGTTGTTGTGTGTTGTTCATTTATCTGTGATAAATTGTTGAGGTTCTCAACGCAATGTGTTTCGTAATGACCTTGTTAGTGGGCGGTTTTGAGTCCCACGTTTTATTCGACTCTGGAGCATCGAATTGCTTCATTACACCGGAGCGTGCCGAGAAGAGTGGCATCCGGAGTAGCGCGGGCGAGAGCGCGGGCATGGTCAAGGTGGCGGGAGGTGGATTCTTGTCTACTTTGGGCCGTGCTAGAGGAGTCGAGATCGAGATTGCGGGGCAGTCAATGCCAGCAGACTTAGTCATCAGTCCGGTGGAGCTGTATGACGTTATTCTCGGGATGGACTGGTTGTCACACTACAGAGTTCATCTGGATTGCTACAGAGGTAGAGTGGTCTTCGAGCGAGATGCAGGGAGGTTGGTTTATCAGGGAGTGAGACCGACTTCCGGGAGTATTGTGATATCTGCTATTCAGGCCGAGCAGTTGTTAGAGCGGGGCTGTGAGGCGTATCTGGCGACGATTTCTATGTCTGAGTCAGGAGCTGGAGTTGTTATGGGAGATATTGAGGTTGTCCAGGATTTTGAGGATGTCTTTCAGTCACTGAAGGGATTACCACCATCTCGGTCTGATCCTTTCACGATTGAGTTAGAGCCGGGGACAGCACCGATATCGAAGACGCCTTACAGGATGGCGCCAGCTGAGTTGGCAGAGCTGAAGAAGCAGATAGAGGACCTTTTGTCTAAGGGGTTCATTCGACCGAGTGTTTCACCGTGGGGAGCACCGGTGTTGTTTGTGAAGAAGAAGGATGGAGTTTCAGACTTTGTATCGATTACAGAGGTCTTAACCGAGTCACTGTGAAGAACAGGTACCCACTCCCGAGGATTGATGAGTTGTTGGATCAGTTGAGGGGTGCTACTTGGTTCTCCAAGATTGACTTGGCATCGGGGTATCATCAGATCCCGATAGATGAGGCAGATGTCAGGAAGACTGCTTTCAGGACGCGTTATGGGCATTTTGAGTTTGTGGTTATGCCTTTCGGTTTGACTAACGCGCCGGCAGCCTTCATGAGATTGATGAACGACGTGTTCAGGGAGTATTTGGACGTGTTTGTCATCATTTTCATTGATGATATTCTGGTATACTCGAGGAGTCAGGAGGAGCATGCGACTCACTTGAGGTTGGTTCTGGAGAAGCTTCGGGAGCAGAAGCTTTTTGCTAAGTTGAGCAAGTGCAGTTTCTGGCAGCGAGAGATGGGATTTCTTGGCCACATTGTTTCTGCAGAGGGAGTTTCTGTGGATCCGGCTAAGATTGAGGCTATCAGAGATTGGCCTAGACCTAGTAGTGCCACCGAGATCAGGAGTTTTCTGGGTTTGGCAGGATACTACAGGAGGTTCGTCAAGGGGTTTGCTACCATGGCGCAGCCGATGACGAAGTTGACCGGGAAGGATGTCCCTTTTATTTGGTCAGCTGAGTGTGAGGAGAGCTTTAGTCAGCTCAAGGAGATGTTGACTACTACACCAGTGTTGGCGTTACCCGAGCCAGGGAAGCCTTACATGGTGTATACAGATGCTTCAGGCATTGGTCTTGGTTGTGTGCTGATGCAGGAGGGCAGAGTGATAGCATATGCTTCGAGACAGTGGCAGGGCAGTGAGCGTAACCGTCCTACACATGACTTAGAGTTGGGAGCAGTGATCTTCGCGTTGAAGATTTGGAGGTCTTACTTGCTAGGTGAGACAGTACAGGTCTTCACGGATCACAAGAGTTTGCAGCATATCTTCACTCAGCCGATGATGAACGCGAGACAGACGCGCTGGGTTGAGTTCTTGGCGGACTATCAGGTGAGCATTAACTACCATCCGGGCAAGGCTAACCTAGTGGCGGACGCGTTGAGTAGACGGAGGTATGATTCCGCAGTTGAGCGAGATGTGGAGTCTCTAGTTGGCGAGATCAGTACCTTGCGTTTGTGTGCCATTTCGCAGGAGCCTTTGGGTTTAGAGGCAGTGGATCAGGCGGATCTACTTAGCAGGATCAGAGTTGCTCAGCAGAGTGATCAGAGTTTGCTGGATGCGACGAGAGTGACTGGTTCTGAGTATGAGGTCTCTGCGAATGGGACTATCTTGGTTCGTGGGCGAGTTTGTGTGCCTAAGGATGTGGAGTTGAGACATCAGATTTTGGGAGAGGCTCACGCGAGCAAGTTTTCCATTCATCCGGGAGCGACCAAGATGTACCATGACCTCAAGAGGTACTATCATTGGGTCGGGATGAAGAGGGATGTAGCAGACTGGGTTGCGAAGTGCAACACTTGTGCCTTGGTGAAGGCAGAGCATCAGGTTCCGGGTGGTCTTTTGCAGAGTTTACCCATTCCAGAGTGGAAGTGGGACAGGATTACGATGGATTTCGTGGTTGGACTACCTGTTTCGAGGACTTTCGATGCTATCTGGGTGATTGTGGATCGGTTGACTAAGTCTGCACATTTCTTGGCCATCAAGAAGACAGATGGAGCTGCTGTCTTGGCTAGGAAGTTTGTGCGAGAGATTGTGAGGCTGCATGGAGTGCCAGCTAGTATTGTGTCAGACCGTGATCCCAGATTCACTTCAGAGTTTTGGAGGGCGTTTCAGGCAGAGATGGGCACTAAGGTGCATCTGAGTACAGCTTATCATCCGCAGACAGATGGTCAGTCAGAGAGGACTATTCAGACTTTGGAGGATTTGCTGAGGATGTGTGTGTTGGATTGGGGTGGCCATTGGGCAGATCACCTGAGCATACAACAACAGCTTTCAGGCGAGTATTGGCATGGCTCCATTTGAGGCTTTGTATGGGAGGCCATGTAGGACACCCCTATGCTGGACCCAAGTGGGGGAGCGCAGCATGTATGGAGCTACTTATGTTCAGGAGACGACAGAGAAGGTTCGTGTTGTGAGGCTGAACATGAAGGAGGCTCAGGATAGGCAGAAGAGTTATGCAGATAGACGCAGACGAGAGCTTGAGTTTCAGGTTGGAGATAGAGTTTATCTCAAGATGGCTATGTTGAGGGGTCCTAACAGATCCATAGCAGAGAACAAGCTGAGTCCGCGATTTATGGGTCCGTTTCCAGTAGTGGAGCGAGTTGGGCCATTGGCTTACAGGCTGGAGTTGCCTGAGATTATGAAAGCCTTTCACAAGGTTTTTCATGTGTCGATGCTGAGGAAGTGTCTTCACCCTACAGAGGAGTTAGTGGCTAGGATTCCAGAGGATCTTCAGCCAGATTTGACAGTGCCGGCAGTGCCTGTGAGGATTTTAGAGAGGAGGGAAAAGGTTCTGAGGAACAAGAGGATTCCCTTACTGAGGATTTTGTGGGATTGCAGTGGTTCTACAGAGGAGACTTGGGAGCCAGAGGCAAAGATGAAGTTGAAGTTCAGGAAGTGGTTCGACAAGCAGGTCGAGGAGTGAGCTTATTTCATCTTTGTAGCCTCAGTTGTTATTTTTGGCTTTGGTGTTATTGTATTTTCGTTTTCGTTGTAACGATATACATTTTGGAGTTTTAATGAGATGCAGTTTTTCCTCATTTTGCCTTGTGTTGTGAAATGGTATTCGGATGTTACACATGTTTGACCAGTTTTTGGTTGTGAGACGGTCTAATCTTATGGTTATAGACATTTTCCGGAATTTTTACTCTAAGGATTGCGATCCTGAATAACTCATCATGTTTTTGGAGACTTCGTTCTCTGGCAGACTCTCTGGGTGCAAGTAGGCCTCAGTTGAGTGTAGCTTATCTGGGTGCAAGTAGGCCTCAGTATAAGCAGTTTAGTTCATCTGGGTGCAAGTGGGCCTCAGTATGGACGTTTTCGGGTTCGTCTGGGTGCAAGTGGGCCTCAGTGCGGACCGGTGTGGACTTGTCTGGGTGCAAGTGGGCCTCAGTACAAGTTGTTTGGTGTGTTTGGATGATGAGTTAGGAGTGAAATTTTCTTGGAACGTGTTTATGACATAAGATATGACGTTTGTCTCGGGGATCAAGTGAGGATCTCCGGTGTTGCGGCCTTGCGAGGTTGGGTTTTGTGGTCTTTGTGACGTTTGCGTTGGGATTCGAGGACGAATCCAGTTTAGTGGGGAGAGTTGTAACATCCATAAACCAAAAATAAATTGGGAATTTTGTCGTTCAATTTAAGTGAATTGGTTTGGGTCGGTTTAGTGGAGAAAGCCCTAAAATCAAGTTTAAAGAGTGCAGCCGTCTTCTCTTTGGAGAATTTTCGAGTTCAGATGCTGTAGAGGAGAAAAGTTGAGTTTTTGGAGAGATTTTCGATTTTACTGTTCATCGGTTACTGTTCATCGGTACTGTTCACGGGTTACTGTTCATCGGTACTGTTCATCCGCGATTCGGCACTGTTCATCGTCTTTCCTTTTTCCTTCAGTTTCAATTGTCAAGGTGAGTGCATGACTGTGGGTCCGCGATTTGCTAGATTAGATTTGGTTTGTGGTTGTTCTTGATGAGTTTATGTGTTTAATTGTTATTTCATGATATTTTGGTTGTTTGTGATGAATTGTGTGTTTGTGTGGTTTAATCTGGTTTAATTGAATTTAATTGATTTAATTGGTTTATCTTGGTTCAATTGATTTGATTGGTTATTGGTTAATTGAATTTAATTGGTTTTAATTAAATTGTTTGATTTAATTCGGATTTAATTAATTAATAATTTAATTAATTAATTGATTTAAAATAATTATTTTAATTATTTTAAAATATGGAAAATTATTATTTAATTATGAGAATTATTTAATAATTGAGAAATTGAGTTTTAATTATTAAAATTATTTAATAATTGGAAAATGGTATTTAATAATTATTGAGTTTATAAATATTATTAAATATCTAGTAAATTGCGTAAATGGCTCGTAGGCAGAGTGATTGCCTCACTAAGTATTTATTAAATACTTACGCAACTCCATTCCAATGTGTTGCAGGTAAAAGATTTGTGTGATCGCGGAATCAAGGCTGAAGAGGGGGATGATAGGATGTTTACTGTTTTATTGTTTTGCATTATTTTGCTAGACTTGTTTAATTATTATTTGCTTCCGCTGAGCTGATTTATTTGTTATTGATATTTTATTTATTTAATTTATTTTTAAGACCTTCGCTAGAATTGATTAATATTTAAAAAAAAAAAAATGTTGGTTGTTTCAGGTAGTCTATAGATTAAGTGATGTTAAACAATGACTTTTCTAAATGAGTACTAATTAAGTGATTAATCTAGCAACATGTATTAATTATGATTAGAAATAGACAATGAATTATTTCAACTTATCATGAATGATTATTTAGAAACGAGGTAGTTGGCCCGCGCCATACGCGGGCATGAGTTGTTTTAAAAAATAAAAAATTTATAAGCTAAAATTAACATTTTTCATATTCTAAACGTTAAGGGTTTAAAATATAGGGTTTTTATGATATTTTAAGAATACACAATTTTTTTATTTAATCGATATGATTTTAACAAAGGATTAAATAATTTAGTTGTTTTGCTATTTCGTTTTTATTAGAAAGAACTAAGGATTTTCTTTTTCATTAGAATATTTCAATAACTAAGGATTTAAGAAACGCCAAAGAAACTAAAACCATACACCCACCAATATAAATTCTACCTCTAAACCCTAACCCTACAATAAACACCCTCTCCCCATCCATACAATACACCATAACCATACAATAGATAACTCTTTTTAATTTTTGTTGTTGTTGTGGTTCAAAAATTCATATGAGATTTTAAGAATACGCAACATTGTTATTTAATTTTATCAAAAGATTAAACAATTTATTATTATTATTCAATATAAAAGCATCATTATTGAACATATAATCATTCATATATAAATCTCTTATAAAAAAAACAGAAAACAAAAATATTATTCAAAACTTAAAAACCGAATTTAAACTAATTAATCTCGCATCGAATATTATGTCAAACACCATTGACTTGTGGTCGTTGCTTCTGAAACATATGCACAAAATAAGTGATAGATTCAGTTCTTTTTGTTTATAAAGATATCTAAAATATAAAAATTTAATGTTGTTGATGCAAACATATATTCTTGTATGGATTGTATTCATTGTTTTTTTCTCCTCTAACTTTTTATTCTTCTAATTTTTATGTCTTTCCGCTTTGACTTCTCCTTCTCTTTTTTTTAACTCAATTTTCTTCATTCACCTAGAAAGATAAAAAAGAATGTTTCATCCTCTTATTTTATTCTTCAACTTCTTCCACCTTTTCTCCGGCTAATTATTCTCCAATTATCTCATTTTCTTCTTCAAGTATCTTTTTCTTGTTGGACTTTTTTTTCTTCTTTTTCTCCAAGTTTCTCATCTTATTCTTTTTACTCCAATTTTTATTTGTTCCTATCTACGTCTTTTCCAACTTCTTCTTCATAAAATTTGTCTTTTTCAGCTTTATCTTTCGATTTTTAATCTTCTCATTTTTGTTTTCTTCATCCTCCTCATCTCCTTCAATGTCTTCTTCTGGTTTTGTTTTATCTTCTTCTTTTAGTTTTTCATTATTTCAATTATTTCTTCACTTCCTATGACATCGGTCTTATCCGACTTTATATACTTCTAAAATTTTATTTATCTTATTTCCATCTTATATTCTTTTACTTTGTCTTCATTATGTTTCAAATTGTTTTTTCTTCTCTTTCTTCCTTTCTTTTTTACTTTTTGTTTTCTTTTTCTTATCCAACTTTCTTATCTCTTTTTATTTTTCTTCAACTTATTATTTTCTTTTGTTTTATATTTACATTCATCATTTTACTTACAGTTTTTTTTCTTCAATGGCTTTATGTTATTATTTTTCACATTTATTATCTTTTGACTTTTCCAACTTTTCTTTATATTTTTCGATTTTGGTTCTGGAATTGTTTTAAATTTCTAGATTTTTTAAAAAGAAGTTGTTTTTTTTTGTGTTTTTAGTCTGCATTGTTAGTGTATTCAAGTTTTTTTTTAAATGCACAAAAATCTAAACCCTACACCCACCAATATAAACCCTACCTTCTAAACCCTAACTAACCCTACAATAAACAACCCCCCCCCCTACACCACCAATATAAACCCTAACTCTAACCCTACAATAAACAACCCCCTCCCCCCCCACCCACCCACCCATACATAACCACATAATAGTAAACTCTTTTCAACTTTAATAGAATATTTTTTTGCTTAATTTTGTTGTTATACAAAATTTCACATGATATTTTAAGAATACACAATGTTTTTATTTTATCGATATGATTTGAACAAAATATTAAATAATTTAGTTGTTTACCTATTTCCTTTATTCTTAATTTTTTCAAGAACTAAGGATTTAGAAAACACACAAAAAACTAAACCCTACACCCATCAATATAAAGTCTACCTTCTAAACCCTAACCTTATAATAAACACCACCATCCATTCAGTACACCATAACCACTTGATAGACAACTCTTTTTTAATTTGAATTAAATTTTTTGGCTTAATTTGGTGTAATTGTTGTTGTACAAAATTTCATATGATATTTTAAGAATTCCCCACTTAATCACGCAGATTACACCACTATGGTTTACTTTCATCCATTTGAAATTCACAAAATTGAATAATAAAAAAATGATTAAAATTTAAAAACTGAAAAAAATCAAGAATACAGGATGTAACTTTCTCGTTGCATAGAGCTCATCAATCTAAGACCATCTAACATAGTTAGGGTTTTCATCCATACAATAATGTAAATCTGAGTGGTTTACAAAAACATAATACTATTGATATAGTAATCTTCTTCATTCGTTTTTGAGTTATAATAGTTTAGAT